GCACATCAGAGCAGAGGCTTTCATACAGACTGCATCTGGTTACACACAGTGGATAAATTAATGTTAATTAATCAGACAGTCATTTTATGGAGAACTGTGCGCAAAAGGTTATTCGAGCCCTGCTGCAAATAGATTTATAGGTATAATTGCCATGTTGAATGACCCTCTGTACATGGGCTCATTAAACTGGCCATCAGTCAAGAAGTCTAATTGAGGAAGGCCCATATCGTGCCACTGGGACCACGCGCTGGCTGAAAACAAATCCGCTCCGCAGAAGCCAGCTCTCTGAAAGCCGCCAATAATGCCACTTTCCATCCTCTGGGCACTTCTGCCACTGCCACTCCTGCCAGCTGAAACTCTGGGCAGGAAGGAGAGAGGAGATCTCCCGTGCCCATCATCGCGGCTTTACATCATTTGCAAAACACACCGGGGGACTGGGCGCAGCGTGGAAATGGTTTTATTGACAGCTGCGCTTTCCAAATGCTGCTCTGGCCTTGGCAGCTGGGAACAGCTTGGAAGCACAGGCTTCAAAGTCGCCAAGATCAGAAGGCAAATATAAAGACACTAAAGATTCTTGATGACATTTCACACTTCAAGAGCGTGTCTTGATTTCACTGGAGTGGGGGGAACATGGGAGAGTCCAGGCCAGGAGCCGAAATGCCTGGGACTGGCAAACAGGCACAGACACATACCCCAAAAGCAGAGCAGCTCATGGAGCTGCAGTCCTTCCCTCAGTGCCACCCAGGTCCTTCAGCTATGCTGTGGCAGACAATCATTCCTGTGGGGGCTTTGTCCAGCCCTGTGGGTGCTGGGTCCAACACAGAGCCTTGTAAAACAGCAAACAAACCTTGTCACCATCCCTGGCAGCAAACACATGAAGCCTGAGGGCAGCACTGTGAAAACTTGCCTTTTACAACTTCTTGTGGCATGAGCTGCCTTCTCAATCTATTGTCAGAGCCTCTCTGCACCTCCAGTCCCCACCAATACAATTATTGGTTTGAGGATTGCCCCTTATTTCACACACCCAAGAGGCCCTGCAGCCTGGTTCACACGCTGAGGGCTGCAGCGTGTAATTCTCTCTCTCACACATGCTGTGGATCACACATGTGTTCCCAGAGTGGAGACGAGGAGGAAGTACATGGCACCCCCCACCACCCCAAACTGTCCTGGGCAGCCACCCACCAGGCCAGCCAGGGGTGGCTCTGGGTGCCAGAAATGGAAGGTTGTTGTCCAAGCTGGTTCCTAAAAACACCTCCAGTGGAAACTGCACTGTCTGATTCACACTGGAAGGTGCCATTTAAGAGTACTTGGGGAAAAAATAAAAAATACATCAGAGTAAGACAGGTAAATCGATTTGAATGTGTTCATATTATCCCTTCCAATCACTTCTTTTCAGGTTGCCCTTAGTAGTGTATAAGCCTTTTCAGATATAAAATAGCTACAAAACACCATCTTTCTCAAACACAAAAATTAAAGCAAAAAAACTAAAGCACACTAATACAGAAGCCAGCAAGGCAAGAATAAGTGTGAACAAAGAGAAAACCATTTGTCTCAGAGCAGTGACAATGTCACTATCTGAAGATGTTTCTGGTAAAGAGGAGTCCATCCCAGGACAAGGCAAGGGTTGCATAGCATGTCTGGGCTGTGGCAGCATTTCTCTTCATCCTGTCCCACAAGGACATTGGCCCTGATGTGTTACACGCTCCTTTTCAAGTACTGGCAGGCACAGCATTTATCTGTACAGCATCTGACAGGAGGATCTGGAAAGCTGACTGTGAGCATGGCATGCTCCTGGATCAGCTGCCTGCCACTGATGCCAGGGTTTCAGAGGACAGCAGCACAGCCCCTCATCTGGGTGCACAGGGAGCCATGCTACAATACAACAGCCTCCAGGCAAGCCTGGGGTCTCACTTTCGGAGCTGTTCTATGGGTGGACAATAAATTTGGCCCCCAGGGCACTTCTCAGAACTGATACTCCCTCGTCCTGTGCACCCCTACTAAAGACCATATTTGAGTCAGGAGAATGAAACTGTACCGCAAGTTCTTAAGGCATAAAACCACCATTTCTTCAATGAACAAAGCAGGATTTCCTCCTGTAATAATAGGGTTTTCCCCCAATTTATCTAAGGTCTCCAGTTTCTCCTGTTCTCCTGCTCAGCATACCTGTGTTGCCACAGGTGTGAGACCCACCAGCTGCCTGGCAGTTTGGGCATCTGGGCTGCTGCAAAACCTTTCGCCTGTGCAGTGTCCCCCACTCAGCACAGGAGGAAAATCTCTCGAGTGCTCGCCCACAGAGGGCACCACTCGTAAATGTATGTGAGTAAATGCGCTGCCACTTCACTTCTCACCAGCACAAGCCCAAAACCCTTCATGCATATCATTACTGTCATCTCGGGGAAGAAAGGGAGCAGCAGGCTGATGGTGCACAAAAGGGGAGGCTTTTAAAGCTCAGACCGTGCATTCGCGCTCATGCTGAGATGTCAGGCAAGGCTTCCCATTCTGTATCGCTGTGGAACGCCTCTAGCCCCTGAGAGCTGAACTGCATCAGTTCAGTGACATAAGGAAAGAGAACCGTACCTCAAAGGAGAGCTGATATTTCCATATGCAACCATGCATGTCACTTCAGCTTGGGCAAGGATGAGGAGACACACATGTTCTTCCTCCGTCCACAGCAGGTGGACTATGGGGATTCTACCCTTAAATTAGTTAAAGACAAGTTTTTATTTACTTCTGCAGCTAGTAGATAATTTTTCTGAAGTCCTCAGTCCAGGGAAAAGAAGACAAAGGGTTTAAACATGCATCACTAATGTCATTGATAGGAATTTTTCCCCTAAACTTCCTTGGGTGTTGGGATTTCAACCTGTATTTCTACGAAAGACCCTAGATCAGGTTTGCTGAGCCTCGTTTTACATGTGTAGAGAGGTAAGTGCAGCTTTATGCAAACACCTACCAAGAGAGTAAAAATCTGCAGCTTTCTCACCCACCTGCTTCATTTTAAGTGTTGAAAAAATCCCAGCTATGTGTAATGTATGCACACAAAACACAGCAGCCAAACAGGGAGAAAAAACATCTGCCCACCTTGTATCCCACTTCTGTGCTGCCTCCATTGCTTGGCAAGCTCAAAGTGGACATGCAGTAATGCACTTAGGGCCGGGGACAGATTACAGGACAGTAAAAGCATACATTGTGCATTCAGGTCACTGAAGAAATTGCTGAGCTGTTGCTCCTCTAAATACCAGACACATAGTTAAGTTGAAATGAAATTTTACTCTTCATTCAGTTTTCTCTTCCAAGTGCATCTCAACTTTTAGTTTAGAAAAATCAAAATATGCTGAAAAGCAGCAGCTAGAATATGCCTTCAATCCAAGGGGGTAATGGTGGTGGTATCTTTTTGGTATTTTCATATTTAAAATCAACCTTTGTCCATCCAGTAAAATCTATCTAATCATTCTCATTTCTGTGTGATAGTCCTTTATTTCTTTCTTACAAACCATCAAGATTGTTGTTCTCATCAGAATCTCTCTAGATGCTTTTAAGGTTTTTGCAGCACTAAGAACCCAGAGAGGGATTAGAAACTACTAACGTGTTGGTAATCACCATCATGTATTTTAATCACTGAAGCACACTCTCAAATTACACTAGAATTAGAATTCCCAGAATTCAAGTTCCTGAAATCATCCTTTTCTAAACTGAATCTCTACTTTGGCTCTTTGAGTTACGTACTCCTGTGCAAAGTAGATGCACATTACTAGCACAAGTCTCCTCTAAAGCGTAGTGGCTGTTTGTGGTCTTTCTATAAAACAAAATATCATCCCCCTGAGAAGAAGAAAAGGAGAGGAAGGCACAATACAACAGATTGATCAAGGTAATCTCAAAGCTAACAGCCTTTCTTTTTTTTCAAAGGAATATTTTACATCTTTTTATATTCCCTCTGTGTTAGCTTTGCAGGACTGCCACATTTAGCTAGGTATGCTGCCTAGTCCATGGTAACATAGTACAGCAAAGATTTTAGGTAATTTCCTTCTTTTCCACCCAGCTTTAAGACTAATTCAACCACCAAGTTTCCCTGCAAATGCCATGTTTCAAAAAGCCAGTTTCAATTTTGGCTCATGTAACGTACCACGTTAAATCCGTACGACTGGTTCAAATCCGTATGACCGGTTCTCTTTGATTCCCAGGGTGCCTTTTTTCAGGGACAGGTTCAGGTTGAGAAGGCAGCATGACAGGACAGTAACAGTTTGCCCAGACTAATTCATCACATTACAGGAGACAAAACTACAACATAAGTCAATGGCATTACATATAAGCAAGCTTCACTTGGGGAAACACTAGAAGAGAAACCCCACTGATCATACCTGGCCTCTCTTGAACACACACAGCTCAGGAAGAACTGCAGAACAGGGCACAAGCTGTGTAGGTGGATCTCAGGGCACAGAGCAGCAGGTACAGACCCACAAGCCCCTTTGAGAACACTTGTTTTCCAAAGCAGGTGCTAAAGCCAACCTGCTGGGATCGTTTGCCTTCCACAGTCTTCCCAAAGCCCAGAGTCGATGTGAATTTTGCTGGCTCTGCCAGAGCTCACACTGATTGTTTTGTTTCTGGGAGGCAACTGCAGACTGGCTTTAGCCCACAGGATTCCAGCAGCACCCACTCCCAAGTCCCCATCCCTTTTTGGGGGATGTGCCCTGGTTCCCTCCCACAGGAAACAGGGATGGCACAATCAGACCTCAAGGGAACCAATAGATGCCCAATATGCAGCTAAGGCTGGTGCCACAAGGAGAACATACACATGAGGACAAAAAATCACTGGCCAAGATAAGGGCAAAGCTGCCATGAAAACAGACAGGGGTCACCTTGTCCCTGTTTCAGCAGGAGCAAGATGGAAAGCTCAGCTGCTGTGTAAAACCCAGCAGACCTGAACACCTTCCCTCACAAGTGTGATTCCACCCACCCACTCCCCCATTTTCACATTAGAATTAGTGATCAATAAAGCCAGGCGGTGACACAAAGCAAATTGTTTATTTAGATCAATCTTTTAATCCCATCTTACCCTTTAAAATAAATTAGCAAATAAACTCTTCCATGAACTATGCTCCAAATCATAATGTGGGCACAGGACAAAAAACTCCCATCAGAGGAAAAAAAACAAAATCACTTTTTTTGAACTTGTGTTGGTTTCACTGATTTGTTTCTTCTCAAAACATTAGGATTCTGCAAAATTTTAATCTGACACAAAAATCAAAATGCTGTGAACAGCAGATTCTTTCCTCAATCACACATTAGTTAAATGTCGATAAAGTAATACCAATACTTTAACAAGGGAACTGCTTCTAAATCCTGATAAAAACATTCCTGGAAAACATTTAAGAAAAAAGTTTCAGTTCCTTTTGATGTGGGGTACCAGTCTATTTTACTGGGTTAAGTGGATTTAAGGAAAAAAAAAAAACAAAATAAAACAAAAAACCCTGACACAGCATTTTGCAGCAGGTTATCTCAATGCACAACGAGTGCTTAGGAATCAAGCCTCAAAATGTCCCTGTAAGTCAAGGACTTTACAAGCAAGGAAACTTGGATCAACAGTTAAGTCATATGTCAAGATCACACAAGGACTCAGTCTTGACTCTTGTGGTGATCATATCACATCACAATATTTTGTAGAGAATGATTTATTATGACTGTGATAATTACTGTTCAGGTTTCCTATTAGTGTTATCTGCGGGAATGTAACCCCTCCATCAGATGGGATGTTTTTGAGTAGAACAGTCTGATCCACTACAAAGCTTTTTCAGATTTAACCCATAACTGCAAGTTTTAAAACACTAACCCTGTATGGCTCCTCACTCGAATTGATACCAAAAAGGAAGTGCTGCATCACTATGACTACAAAGTAAGGCTGATGTAGCAATGAGCACCAGCTGCATCATCAGAGAAGCACAGCTCTACAGACCACAGGCTCTATGTCCCTTCTTTTCCTCTAGATTTGAGTTTCCCCTTCTGCCTTTTGTTGTTCATTTACTTGGCTTTAAATTTTGGCTTAGCCAGTTATCAGTGCTCCCAGACACCGATTCCCAAGGGACTTGTCTTGCCCTCATCAACAGCAGGTGTCACACTGAAGGATGTGAAGTACCTTTGCTGCCCAGCTCAGGCTGCAGTCCCTGCCCCGGGGTTTGCTGGGGAAAGCCCCGCTCCCCTTCCCCCCTGATGGGGCACAATTCAGTGCCAGCACTTTGAGCAACCTCATGCCTGTAGTCTTCTACTTGCTCCATCTCTCTCCACAACCAAGAGATGAAAAGTTTCCCCTAACAGCTGCCTACAGCACCAGGCTATCAGGCAGCTGGTCTAACTCTTTACTAGCTGCTTTCTGTCCCTCTCTCTAATCATGAGATTATTTGTTGATTAATATTTGTGTATTTCTGTAAAAGAGAAAAAAATGCCTCTCTGTGAAAAAGTTTAAATATATAAAAACACTTCATAAAAATATTTATTATAAAAATGAAATGCCCCATGAGCCTGTAAACGTTGCCTGTAGAATCTCCATTAACTGGAATAATTTGAAATACAGTCATTCAGGCTCTTCTCTGCCCTCTCCAGTATGATTTTAAGACAGCCAACAGAAATGCTACTTGTCTTGTACTTCAATCCTCCTGCAACCCGTTTTTCTTCTTATTTTTTTGTTTACAATATAACAGTTTGATTTCCCAATGCTGGCAGTTTTCTTTGGAGGCATCATTTGACTTTGCTTTTAATAGAGTTCATCGTGGCCTGATTCTGAGCCCTTCTTACAGAGTGGGTTTGAGGTCTGATTGGTAACAGGAGCAACACCAGGATGCTTAGAATGTGCATGTGAAAATACACAGACCTGGGAACAAAAGAGAAAGAATATTATATTTTTGTGGGAAATAACATGACTTCTGCAACCCAAATATGCAGAATTTAGTGCTAAGGGATGAATGCAGAATGTATGAACTTGACCTAGAAAGCACAAAAATATACCCTTGAATTTCACACAGTCCTGGAATATGGTGTCTGCTGACATGGATGAAAATGCTGCTGTGGATGATAACGAAGCAAGAAAACCATCAGCAAACTCTAGAATCCAAAGTCTGACAGCTCAGATAAATCCATGTAATTCAACCCCAGACTTACTCAGCCCATCTCTCTTTCAATGTTAGAATACACAAGGCCAAGCTCTGAAGAAAAGTCGTTCATGCTTCAAAAAATTTTAAAAACTGATAGAAAGAAAAATTTCAATCAAAGTGCTGAGATCTGAAATAAATCAAAACACTCAGCTTTAAACTGGGGAAGGTCAGGTAATGACGTTTACAGAAAGCCTGCATTTTTGATGGTAAGTGCTCAGAGATATCTGTGTTTGGTATGTTTCTAAACATCAAATATTTTTATTTCAAATAATTCAGTATACACAAGGTTGAAGAGAAATAAAAAATACTTAAACCAAATAGATGAGGTTCTTCCAGCTTGGGGAAGATGACTTTTGGGACCAGTATAAACACAGTAATGCACATTTCTGTGGTCTCATTTATGCTTCTTACCATAGTTCTTAATATCTTTCTGAGGTGCTTAAGATCACTGCTTGTGGTGTGAAGTGCTCCAAAAATTCACGCCCTAGTCCAAAAGCATAACATTTCCTTGCTTATGAGTCTCTAAGTTTAAGTGTTAACTATGTCCAAAGTTAACCAGGGCAAAAGTCACCAGGGCAAAATTATTAAGAAATGAAGCTAAGAAAGATTTGGAATAATTTTTACTCCATGGTAAGTTTTCTGTGTTGAAATCAAATGTTTCAAGAAACAGGAATAGAAAATGTCGAAATTCAACCTCCTGCAAACAGACTGCCGCTATTTTGACTGCCAGTTTTGTGTCTTTTACATTGGAGGAGGGAATTGTCTTTCTTCTGAACCAGAAGCTGCTACTCTATATTGACAGTAAAATGAAAGAAGAGTAAAGCCATGTAGTCCCATCTCCCTTTTCTAATTATTTTCTCAATTTCTCTACTTCAATTTGGCTTCATTAGAGCACATGCAATGTGCTCTGCAACACCAGTGTTTTGTTATCTTTAAGGAATCTGGGGAAGTACTCACTTTGTAAGAAAAGAAGCATGCTTTCATGATGAAAAGCGTACTCATTTCAAGGAGCAAGGCTCTGCCAGGAGCCCTCCATATCTCCTGCTGAGTGATCACACCTCCTCTTATGTGCATTCTGCAGCTGGAAGCCTGGTTTTTGCTCAGCACCTCCTTCCTGCTGCCAACTCACATTATTCTTAACCTCTTCAGCCTTGGCTACTGCTAATGGTTGAGACCCAGCTGTTTTGAAAATGGAAACTGAGTATATGAAATGTCAGGCTAAGGACACAGAATGAGAAGAAGAACCAAAGTGCTCTGCCTTGGCACTGTTATAATCTCATTACGCCACAGGAGTGCAAAAGTTACCTCTTATACTTTAGCAAGCATCTGAGCTCCTTTCAAATTTGATGAAATGCTAACTGCCTTTCAGTGTGGCTTGGGTTATTTAACAAAAGTCTGTGCCACCCTGGAGGATAAAGTCAAGGGGAGAGGACTTACTTGTAAAATTTAATGGTGGGCTCCACAGCCAGCATAACGAAGGGTGCGACAGTGTAGCACACGGCCAGCTGAGTGACCGCCCAGGTAACAACGTCGTAGGCTATCTTAAGAGGCACTGACGAGAGGAAGTAATGTCTGCAGTTGTTTCTTATCTGCAGGTCAGGGAGAAGCAAGCAGAAAATTATATAAATTCATTTCTTAGGCAAAGTCACGCTGACTGACACACAGCAGTGCATGACTCTCTGCTTGTCATCAGCATTAGTATCACAGGAAGGTTTATACAGCAGCTACAAAGCGCTGGAAGCAGAAATACAGATGTGTATGGACTGGCATATTCAAGATCTCACAGTCAAGCAGTGGCAAAGAGAAATGGCCCCCCAGTTTACTCTGTCATAACCACAGGTGCAGACTCTCATTCTGTGTGTCTGGCACAATATTTTTTGTGAGGGAAGTTGTTCCTCCCTTCTGGTTTTCATTACTTCTGGTTATCAACAGTAAATAGAAGTTACTTTAAATGAACAAGTAAGTGCCATTCCCTAGAGATTTTTCAGTTAGTTTCACATCTGTGAAATCCTCATAAATGAGGGGTAAAGCACATGTTCAGCGACCTGCTCTAGCGACAGTGGCTAATAATGGTCACCAGGTTAATTCTCCTTTCATATTAACCTGGTTATTTATCCATAGTCAAACTCCAAAAGACAACAGTGGTGCTTCCCAGTCCTGCACAAGTGGCTGGTTCAGTCTGAAAGATCAGCAGTGATAAATTTAACAATAGTGAGACATGAGCCCTGTTCTGTCTTGGTGACTCTACACAAAATAAGGCCCACAAACACAGAGACTATTTTACTGCATCAATTGTATCCACACAAATTGTTCAAGTTTGGGCTAATGCTCAACCCATGGCAGCTCCTTGTGCAAGACTAGGCCCAGAGTTAAACCAGCATACAGGCAACATGACCCAGCAGAAGTCTGGAATCCAACATGACCTTGAATCCCAAGATAATTTGCACGGACATAGGTGGTGGCACCCCTAACTGTACATGCTCAAGCAACATTTCCTCTGACAGCCAGGGACAGCAGTACATCACATCCAGAAATGGTGCTGGTTTTAACTGCTGGCTACTTCACAATTAGTATCAATACAAAGGTACATACTGCTCTGGCTGCGAGTGTGATAAGGATTCCAGTGAGAAATGTAAAATAATATCCAGGATAGATACCATGCCACAGGGCCGACAGGATAAATGTTAAAGCTGTAGGGTACCAGGGAGCTCTGTCATAGCAGACACTGAAAAAATGAAAACAAAACAGAAGAGGTTGAACAATGGCCACTGCACTTGAAATCCTTCTGTTTCTAAGGTCTTTCTCTGTTTTCTTGGCTGTCTTGTCTTGGGTCGGTCACAGACTAGGATATGAGGCACTCTCCCTTCATTTAAATAGTGGTTTAGATGGAATGAGGAAGCATGCTTAATGCAAAATAGTTTCCAAAGAGTGCCTGTACAAATATTTCTGGTGCTCAAAGCATCTGAATCAGTAACGGAATAAGGGCAGGCAGGACTTTGCTCACCTTTACATCTCTGTCTGGAATCCTACATTACCCTTCCAAACTCTGATGACAGATCAAGAGCAAGTTGAAAGACCAAGAGATGTGACCCCACCCTTCACTCTAGTGAAGAGAGGTATTTTTAGGCACAGTTATCTGGCAGATGCTGGGAACAACAGGGAGTGCCGTAAACTATTGCAAAACAGGGGATTCCAGCTAACTTTAGCAGCAAAAAAATCTTACTCCCCAGATGCAAGGATAACAGTTCAAGTAAACAACACTCAGTCTATTTGGCTATCTGAAGTTTAAATCAAACACTGTGCTCCACAGAAATGAGTCAAGATAATGTATTTTTTACCAGGAATCATTTGAATAATGAAAAATAGTAGACATTGACTTTTAAGATGTATAGATTTACCATCATTATAGTTACAATAACTACAATAAATCTGTGCCTGCATTTCAGGCACTGTGTTGACTGTATGCTGAGCTTTAATCACACCAGAAAGTGAAATGAGTAATGAGACACTGTCCAATCTACAAAATTTGGACTTATGTTAATATTTATGGTATGTGCCTTAACAGTCACAGGTTAAAATCAGGTCATCTCAGTGCTATAAGTCTTAAATATCCTAAACAAGGACTCCCTGGCAAGCATCTTAGGGTAACCCCAAACCAGACTTCACTGGGGCTTTGAAGATTTTGACCTTATTTCTTGCTAAATTTATGGATCCCAGTGACACAGCAAGACTCACCTCTGCATGGGAAACATTATATAGCAAAGCAAAACAGTAGAGGAAAGATAATGGAGGGAAACAACAAAATGCTATTGCTTTTTATTATGGAAGATTTGAATAGCTCGTTTATGACTTTGCTGCTCATATATAAAATAGGAGCATTTTACACTTGCAGCAATAAAACTTTACAGCACCAGATACCCTTGTGTTGCACCAACTAGTACAGGCACAGGAAACAAAGGAAGAACAAGAGGCTATACATTTATGAGAACCACCAGTCAGCGTTTTTCCAGGCTGTGGAGAGCTTTTGGATCTCACAAGCAAGTAACTGCTTCATTGCTCTTACCGTTTCAGCCAGGCAGCTGTCTGAATGTTCCAGTTCTCAATGTACATTTTAAAACTTGTTGCAGTCTAAGAAAGAAGTTCACATGGAATGTTAGCAATGAGGCCTGTAAAATATTACTTGCAATTTAAATTAGTGAGAAGGTACATGGAAAATATTAAATCTAGCAGCTAACTTTTATTAAGACTGTGCCACAATCCATCATTATACTAATATGACTTGGGAGGGACATTAGGCTGATAGCTCACTGCTAACACTTGGCACTTGCTCTAAAATCTCACTTTGTTTCATATAATTAAATACAGTGTTTGATTACTTTTCAAATAATGGGAAATCTGAGAAGCTTTCTTGTTTTCTATGCCTGGCCTTCCTTTCAGCTCATAAACAGCTTTATTTCTGGAAGAGATATCTGGACACCCATTATGCAATCTGGACTTCCCTACAGTACTACTAAAACAAAGTGTTATCAAAAAAAAAAAAAGACTATTATTATTATTATTATTATTATTATTATTATTATTATTATTATTATTATTATTATTACTGTTTGGAGAATGAAGGGGGAAGATTGAAAAACACAGGCAAAAAAATTAGGATTAAATTTAGAAGCCAATTCTCAGCCCACTGCTAGGCTTAAGAAACCAGAGTGACTCCAGTATCCTGAGAGAACCTCACATATCTCCTCCTCTGAGCTCCCCCAGCTTTAGGGGGCTGGTGGACTCTGCTGTTCAGCATCAGTTCCCCTACTGCTGATCAGCTTCACCTCCCAACTCCACCTTGGTCCCTCACCTGCTGGCAGAAACCTCCAAGGACACCCTGGCCCAGTGGGTACATGATTCAGTGACACCACAATATTTTGCCATATCAGCCAAAGGCAAGGGCACACTGAAAAAATGCATTAGGGTAAAGGCTTCCAAGGGGAATGTGCAATTATCTTTACACTTCCACACAGAATCCTTAAAGCTAGCATTTCATCCTCTGCTTTTAAAGAGTTAAAATGATTAGCAATTCCCAGTGCAGCACTGCTACATTTTAATTGCATTACTTCACCAAGAGAAGCCAAGAAAAACACAGTTTCTCTTCCAGCTAATATTGTCGCTCTCTTTTGGCCTCCTTTAAGTTCCCCTGTTACATTACCAAGAGAGGAAGTAGTTGCTGGCTGTCAAAACAAGCACGCTGCCAAGGCTTTCAAATCCCTCACGTGCGCTTAGCCCCATCATGTTTTAAGGCCCACACAACTCCTTCCATGTGCTTATCTTTTCTACAGATCAGATAGTCACATTTAGCACTCAAGTTCTCAACTCTGAGGTAATTTTACACATGCATGTGGCTATACCTGCTGAATATATAGACTGTATCTGTAAACACTGTACAATCACACTTAAACTTCAACTCCCAGCATTGCTGCTGGCACATAAAGTGATGGTTCAAGGCTTACCCAAAGCCATGGTCTCTGTAATCTCTCTTTTTTTCATTGCAAACATGATCAAATCTGACAGCACCCTATTTAATGCTCTTGGAAACAATTTCTGATCTCTGTTGCCCATGTGACCAGCTAAGGAAGTAAATTTTGAGAGACAATCAGTTCAGTGAGTAGAGAGGAGCAAAGGCTCCTGTTTCCTTTATTTGATTTGACTGAAGAGTACTGGCTGCCTTTTACTTTCCTCCTTCAAATGGAACTTGCCTCAGCCCACCAAAGGTAAGAATCATGTCCTGCCCCAAAACCAAATCAGATGTAGAGTCAAGATCTCAGAGTGGTATCTAAGGAGCTTCTTTCATCAGGAAGTGTAAAGCATTTCTGGGCTGTGTGTCCTGTACTCATCAAAGAGTACACTGAGGATTAACCATTGTTAAAAAGGTAAAAGAGAAAGAATGTTGAAAAACAGGGGATGTACATCAAGACTTCTAATTTTGGCATCTTCAATGAAGAATTACAGGGGCTCTTTCATTTTTGAGAAGAGCTATTACAGCACATTCACTTAGTCACAGATTGTTCAGCAATAAAGCAGTCAACTTATTTTTATCTATGATTACTTTTAAAATCACAACTAGAGAATTACAGAGGAAGGCTCCTCCTATTTCTAAAGAAGAAGCCTTTAGAAAGCAGTTGCAAGTTGCAGACACATAAATCTTTAAACATCTCACTGGCACTTACAAAATATTCTTCAGGGCAAACAAATTATATGGGCCATCTTTTGTAGACACAAACATGAATAGTTTTCAAAAGGCTAATGGATCTCAGAAGTATGCAGCAGTCACAAGGAAGGAGTGACAGATGTTTTGAGGAACACTGTGGCTCGCTGCATGGTGTTCTAGATCAGCAGCCATCTAAGCTCTGTGTGCCCCTGTCAGCTCCCACTAAGGCTGCTTGGATTGTAACTCTTATGTCTCCTACCCTTGCTTTTCTCCATGTAGCAAAGGCAGTTCAGCCCTTGCATGTGTCTGTGCCACTCGTGGCAGCCTCTTTCACTACCACTACTCCTCTCAACTGGGCTACAAAAGTGAAAGATTGTTAGAAGTAAATAAGCAGAACACACCACAGATGGTGAAGAATCATAGCTGTGAACAATTTACTGACCCACTGAGTTCAGCCACAATCTACAGTAACTGACTGCTCATTTATAATATCTGATATAATTATTTATTAGCCCTCACTAAACTGTTTAGAAATACAACCTGAATACTGAGCATGAGGAAGCCTGTGAGACAGATGCATTTTATCTGTCCAACAGATAAAATACAAAACCTCTTCATGCTAAAGAGGAGCAGCCTGGAAGCATAGATTTACTTTCCTTTCAGTAAAGCTTTTACCCATTATCATGCTCATTTCTGTATAATTATGCCAATGCAGCCACTCCTTTATCTCACCTCAATGTTCCAGATATTCAAATTGGACAACAGGTCCCAGCGGAAAGTGCCTCTCTCATCAACTCCACTGAATCCATAACCAGCTGCATTGTTGACTGCATCTGCTGCAATGTCAAAGCAAAACAGGTCAAAATCAGACTGCTGGAAGAGACATGTTTGCTTACAAGTCAGTATGGCACCAAAAAAACATTCAAGCTAGCTCTGTAGGGTTTAGCAACCCCTCTTTCTCAGAGAAGCTCCTTTTTAGCAAAGGGGCATTACTATAAAGCTACACAAGAGTCATTTCCTCAAGAGGAATGACTAGCTACTCCTTGTGCAGAAGAAATAAAATAATAAAATAACAATGAACATAAATCACTTTCACTACTCTTTGGCCCTTATTATTCATCTGAGACAGATATTGCCATAAAATGAATGAGCATTTTTCTCAAAAGGGCACCTGAATGTCACAGCATTTTCCAGAATTCAAAAAACACTTAATATCTCAAAGACATGCTTGTTATTTCTCTTAAGAGTTCCAACATGGCTATGTTAATTAAGACTGTCATTCAGAATTCTGCAGACAAAGCCTTTTGCTAATCCTGTTGCTGAGTGTCTCACTAAAGTGCCTCAAGACCTCTACAAATCCAATACTGAGTAACATCAGTTACACACTTAGCTACTTAAAGCAAGTAAAAGCTTGGATAACAGTAGGCATTACACACTGATGCACTCTTGTGCACCTCCCCCCTCTGAGTGCCTGGGAGTCACCTCATCACTGGGTCTCGAGACTCTGATTTCAATGTGCCCTTGCTAGAAATACCTACTTGGAGTACTAAGAAAGCAGAAGGGAGAATTCATTATTGTCTCTTGCTCACTAGTTGCAGACAACACTGAGGATCATTGGAAGAAGAAGGGAAGTGCAAATACAGGTAAGCCTTTTCCTTCTAGGTCATTTACAAAATACAAGCCTGGTTATTCTTTAAAAAGGCCAGCATTTCTTCCCCAAGAGTGAAAACTTCTTTTACTTTGCAAATGCTGTGAGTACAGGCACAAGCTCATGGAGAAGCCCTAGTGCACAAAACTAGGGAGGGAACCTAATTATAAGCAACAAGATTAACAATAAATAAATAAATAAATGAACAAGCAACCTTCTCTAATCTGAAACTTTCTGTTTTGTTTTCCACTTTCCTTAATGAGATAGATTTTGCTGATGGAAAGAAATCTCTCTATGTTTTTCATTTTCTCCCTGTTTAAAAAACCCTCAAACAATAAACACGAACCCTGCCTGAAGTTGGTCCACTGGTTCCTGACCAATCTCAGAGACTGGAGCTGCACATAATCATCCCCCCAGAGCAGTGGACTCCTGGATTTGCTCCTCCTTGCTCCAATGGTAGAGGGACCAAATAATGAGTGTTTCCTTGCCAAAACCAAGAAACCAGCAATCATGGGATGAGCAATAATTATACAGCAGACTCCTTGGCCTTTTGCTTCCCATGCTGCTGTCTGCAGAGCAAGGTGTGAAGCACAGAAAGATCTCAACTGTGCACCCTCCAGCTGCTCACAAAACCCAAATCTCCACGAGCTCCACAGAGGTGTGCCTGCTCCCTGCAGGCTTGAACAGCTCCGGCTGTGTATGGCTTTCACAGCTCCTTGGATGGAGGCACTCGGGGACTCAAAGTGGTTTCACTGACAGCTCAGAGTTAGGTTTGCAGTCGTGCACTCAGCACAAATAAAGCGAGAAGCAGGATTTTCTTTCCATGGATCTGGAGGAATCCGGCAACGCAGCTCCCACACAATAGCGTGCCTGTCCTGTGCTGAGGACAGGAAGCATTTATTGCCCATTCCAGCAGGCGCTTTTGTAATGCCCTGGGCCATGCCACCAGGAGCAGAGCTGGGGAAGGATAAAAAAAGGATAAAGTGCCTGCTGTTCTGCTGCCTGGATTTGGGATGTGTATAGAGGAGGCCTCACCCTCCACTATGCAAGGCATACTTTTCTGAGAACTGCCTCATTTTTAAGACATTTCTAAAGCCTCTGCAGCTTGATCTTGTCACAAATGCAAATTCAGTTTATCTCTTTAATAATAGACTTCCAGTTAACTATAATGCCAGGAAAAAAAAATGGAGGCAACAATTTAACATTGGATTCCACAAAAGTAAGTTTGTGAGCAAGCCATTCTTTATCTCAAAGCCTTTCCAATCCCACACATGCCAGTCCTGGCTGCCCTCCCTGAATCTGACAGATTTATTCCCAGCAGTTTAATCACAGCCTCGCAATCAATCTCCTTGGCTATTTCCATCCTATCTCAGTGACGCCCTGCTCAGCTTCAAGGTACATGCATTGCTTGCTGGACTTCCAGGATGTCCCCTACACACACAATGTCTTGCAATACCAGCAAAAAAATCTGGGATATTTTCAGCCTGATCTAAAGGACTTGGCTCCTCACGCATAGATGGTGAAACATGACTTGTAGAAGAAGAAGGTAAAATGCAAAATTATTATTTTGACCACCAGTCTAGCTGGCTCCTAAAAAACTTGCTTCCCTCTTTAGTGAACCCTCTAACTTCTCTTCTCCTTTTTTCTTGCAGAGAATTCAGTCCTTCCTTTGCTCCCCATGGCTCTCCAGTCTCTCCTCTGGATTGCTAAAAGCCAAGGTGTATACAGGACCCCACAGTGCTTTAGAGGCAAGGCCCAGAACCAAGCCCCCAACAAGCACTGGGTCCACTGCATAAAGGAACACATCTCCCACATGAAGTAGAGGTCTAGGGACAATTTCATTTCCCCCCATCCCAGGTTTCAGACCTCCTCCCCCGTTTAGGAACTTATTTGCTACACACAAAGGTATATAATGTAGCCAGACTTACCCAACGTCCATGCAAAATAATACTTTGGTTTTGCTGCCTGTGTTACAACATACAGGTAACCAAGTCTTGACTGAAAAACATTCATTAGAAACATTTGCTTAAGGGGAATAAAAAGGCAGTGCTCATGACATACAAAAACAATGGGCTTCAAGAGCCATTAAAGTTGGTAGCAACCAAGTTGATACTAATTAATTTAGAAGAGGTGACCAAGAAAAGGCCAGAGTCACAGCTAGTTTAAATTTGTTTACTGAGTCTAGTTTAATTTGGTTTACTGAACTACCTATGGCTAGGTAGAACACTGACAAGTCAAAATCAGTGATGAACTTCATGACAGACTCCACATCAGCGTGCAGACATTCTAAAATGGGAAAGGAAGCAAATAAACCAAGCCCTACAGTGGAAAGCAGAAGTCTTCTCTAAATGCACTGTCCTCTCCTGGAACTAAAGACTGGGTCCTCCTGGAAGCCAAAAGCACTGATGTTCAGTGCAAGAGTAGGTCTTACTACCCAGCTACCACCCAGAAGTGTTGCTAAAAATGACTTGTCCAAAAAGCATCGTGTTGTTACAGCATGCTTGTACCCACGATACAGGGTATGTGCTCTGCCCCAGTGTTTTCTATTCCAGCTCCCTAGCTTCCTACACACCATTATTGACAATCATGGCAGTAGTTCAAAGATTGTTTGCAAATACACACCATGAGCAAACCCTTCTTGATCCAGTTGTAATTAAAAAGTAATCTGACACTTGGATACCATGTGAAAATTGACTCGTGCTCTCAAAAGGCTAATAAAAATGCAATAGGCTATTGAAACAACCATGTATTTTTTGACCCTTTTGATTTTTGATCTCTTTTTATGTGTTCTCCAAATTCTGGAATAAAGTAATGTGAAATTGTTTTTTATGCAGATTTTAATGCTTTCTTCTGATGTGCATTCTCCACAATATAGGCATTATTCTGACCTCAGTCAGACTAATGCAAATCAGACGTAACAACACTAGAGACAGTAGAAAGATAACTGTGTGCAACAGGAATCATTATACAAAAGAATGTGCTCAGCTTCAGAGGACACATTCTGCACACATTCACAAAGCTACACGTTCAATGTCACCTTAAGATAAGAGATATAAATCTGGACCTCATGCTACACTGTCCTGCTTTACAAAAAGGCTATTTTATAAGAAGGCTTTAAGTAATATTAGAAAAATATAAAACAAAATTAGTGTTTAAACTATGTGAAAAAATTACTTCCTGAGTCATCTTAAAGTGTGTGAGATACTCTTGCAAATCACCTGGACAGGCTACAGTTTCTGACTAGCCCTGATTCATGTACTTCTAACATCTCCTGCACTATGGAGGAGATTTGACTATTTTGGTTTTTTCTGACATTTCCTCTTCTGTCTGGAGCTGAACTGCATCTTGTCATTGTCAGAACCTGCAGCCCATTCCCACTGCTGCACAAAGAACACCCATTAACAATGAACCCATTCTGCATGCCAAACCCATTTGGCAAATTCACTAGCCCCTTCACCCCGACCTTGTGATAAAAACAACAGCCACTCACGGAAAAAACTCACTGTAACCTTTACTGGCAAGATAACTCAAAACTGGTTTTTCTTCTTAGCTTTTAATTATGAGAATCATGTACAAAGCTGTACTTTCCTAACCCCTACAATCAATCTTTGTCATTTTAAAACTTACAGTTGGAGAAGGATCAGGAAGTCTGTCATAACCCTTCTGCTTCCAGTTCACTTCTAACAGTTTCATGTGCACATGCCTCCCTTCAATGAAGGCGATATAATCCTTGTAATTGCTGCAAGGCCCTGCTATGATGCTCATAAAATTGAGGAGATAACTTAAATACTCCAGTAAAGAAGGTCTTGACCTGTGAAAAGTCAGCCACACACAACAGAACAGACAAAAAAAAACCCAAAAACAAAACACGGTAAAACACAGCAAAGGCTTTCACCAATTTTTTTTGTTGCACTGTCTACCCCAGTCCTCACCTCTCTCCTACCCCTTTCCCCTCAGCTGAAAGCTCTCTAGATCTGTTCTGGGAAGATGAAACACAGCCTGTTATATTCTGATGATGTCTGGTAGATGGCAGTCAGAGCAAAGGTAACATGGAAATGCTTAAACTACAGGTGAACTAATGCTAATGATTTGAAAAGCTGTAATCTTGAGAACTTTTTAGCTAAAAACAGTAATAAATTTGTCCATTTTGGGGCAGGTCAGTGGTACCAGGAATGAGAAGCTGGTAATTGGTTTCGGATGTCTGTCCAGGATGTCAGGGACCATACTGCCTTGTTATACAAACCACAGGGCAAGGAGTCTAAAACTAGGGCTCTAAGTCCTGGGAGGAGCTCTCACTCACCCTTCAGTCAAGCCTTTCAAAAAATGGGAAGTGTCACATGAGACATACAGGAAGAGAATGAAAAAACACTCCTTCCTACTGTTCACACAAAGGAAGCAATTCCCTGTATAGCATCATGAACACGAAAAGGAACTAAGGGAGGGAAAATGAATTGAAAGATGGCTGAAGATGAAAGTCAAAGAAAGAGTCTCATATTATCTTTTTTCCATTTTGCAAGTGCATATCCCACCAGTTCCTTCTGGGGTTGTACATTTGATGTAAAATGAAGAAGATCCACTGTCCTTGCTACAAATCAGTAGGATGGAAAAAGAAAGATGCAAAGGCCTCTCAGCAGTAGTGAAATTTATAAATTGTGAGGCTCGCGGTTTTTATGTGGCAAAAAAGGCCAACATCCAAATTGTGCCCTGTGTTCTGTACTGCATTAGAGTGAGTGCTCTCCACAAATGTCCTAATTGTCACCATTCAAGTAAACATGGAGCCCTTCAATGAGAACACAAACTTGGGCACAGTGCTTGAGGCCTCTTCTGCCCAAGACACGGATGGACACGCATAACCAAAACACACTTAAAATTCTTTAAGACTAAAACAAATTTCTAGCAGAAAAACTAAGCGACAGTTAAACGTTTTCTGTTGCCTACTTCTATTCTGAAGTGGAATTAGTTTGAATAAACAGTTAGATTAACAAGGATTTTCTGCATTCACCCTACTGATTATTGTAGATGTTACTGCCTGAATGGTATGTTCTCTGGTGGAAGCATTTCACAGAAAGATGCAGCAAACAATTTGGAGTAAGGGTCATCTTTCTGTCCTGCAAAATCTGGTCCACGGTGCAGGCTTCCTAGCTCTACAGTAAGATTAAAAATAAAGTCATTAGTTTCAATTTGGATTCTGCACATGGTTGGGTGTGGAGACATGAGCAGTGCACGAAGGAATGTACAGAGGATGAGTGAGAAACAAAAACAGACCAAGAACAGGAGGGAAGACAAAAGGCTGTATTACCAAAGGGGATTTAAAACTCTTCAGTTATGACTTGTCTGCCACTGACACTTAAGCTATTGGCATCTTCTTTTCTATTATGAACTCATCTACTGTACAAGGAAAAAAACCCAAGCCTGTTTGGTGAGAATTTGACTAGAATTAAGGGCCAAGTGCAGTTAAAAATCATGCTGTGAGCTTTAAAAACACTGTGGGGTCACAGCAAAGTTATACAAGGCTACCTACAAGATTTTTGAATCTTCTACCTTGAAAATGAAGGAAATAATTTCCTTGGACTTAAACAAACATATCATGGTGAAAAGTAGTGATGGTTCTAAGAGTAATTCTGGAACACTAATTCTTCATAAAAAAAAAAGGCAAAAAAAAAACCCACAAAAAAACCCTAACAAATTCATCTCCATGTTGCATTTGTATTGAGAGGCAAACTAGGAAAAAAAAAGGGAGCTCAAGGAAGTGCTCTCTCCATATGAAAAATGAGAACATGAAGAACTAGGAGTATTAACATTATGGAGGGAGACCAAAAGAAATAAAGTCCAGCATTCAGAAATTGTGGAGAACAAAAGCAACATTTGAAGTGTCAGACTCAAATCAAAATGGATTTCTACTATGCAGGGAATTGTTGACAGGTGAGGAGTATTTACTTGGAAAAATAACATGGCAGATCAGATGAAGATAACAGCCAACAAGTCTGTAAGTATAGTCTTAGTTTGAATTTAAAAGAGTTAATTCAGCAAAGACTTCTTCTCTTACATGTGGAGTACTTATTTAAGTCAATGAGACATTGCCAAGTACTTCAGTGCTTTACTGACCAGTACAGGGTGATAAAGGCAGAAGTCCTGTACTGAAGAAATAAAGAATATAAGGGAGAAGGTATGTTTGTGTAAAGGGGGCAATGACAGCAGTATTACAAAAACAAAACTGCTCAAGCAAATAGAAGCAGCATGTAGGATTTCTGGCATCTCATGGACTGGAAAGCAGCAGGAAACATTTTCACTGCTGTGCCACTATGCTGTTCCTGACATTGCAATGAAAAAAAAAAACCAAAAAAACCCCAAAAAAACCAACACTCAACTTCTTTGGAAAAAATTAGACACACATCACTAAGAGAATAACATCCTTACTTTACAGCAAGCCGATTTTGCTCAGCAGTGAGTTCCTCAGCTTGTCGCCCTATTCCTGGAAAGAAAAATCACATTAGATCTTTCCAAAATACAAACAGTAAAAGATATTCCCAAAACATTATGCTTACACCCCACAAGTAAATTTCTAAAGCCATAATTTCAACATCTCTTTGTCACAGGTGGTTTTAATATATCTTAACGCCTAACTTCTATGTCAAGTTCTACTCTACCTCTTTACCCAGTTCCTTACCTCATTCCCCCTTTCTCACCCTGGCTACACTGTCAGGAAGAGCAGCCATAGCATTCCCACACACACAATGGAAGTGGCAATGCCACCAACTGTTGGCGACCCCCAACAGCCTCTACAAACTGTCCTGGGCTGGAAAAACCTCTGTTGCCAGAAGCTGCTAGCTCATTTAAGCACAAGCTTCCCGCTGGCTCTTTGGTGAGAAATGGAGCATTTCACAGCAGGAGGAGTGGGCAGGGGAAGGGAAACAGGCGCTCAGGGAACAGAAGCTCCACTGGTGTGAACAAGCAGCCCAGCTGCCTGCTGCTGGAGCAAGCCTAAACACACACATCAGTAATAATCTGGAATTGTACAAGGTCCAGACTGGAAGGGTAACCTCCTGTTGAGTGCACAAGACCTTTGGGGCCAGAGGTAGCGCACAGACTCAATGTCCCAGGGAAACGATGGAAAAATCTTGTGTCACAGCCAGTGGTAAACACATGCTGCTTATAGCATATGCCTCAAAACCTTCACCCTAAAGCTTTAGCTGCACATACTGCAGGGAATCACAGTGGCTTCAGCAGGACTACACGGGATGAGTCACAGCACTCCATGTGGAGCATGTGCACAGCCCCAAAAGATCAGGGGCTTGGCTCCAATTGACATTACTGTTCTAAACATACTGGCCTTAATTACCAATACACTCACAGGACCCACATCCTAAAATGATTGCTGATAAGCTGCTCATTTCCATTCCCTCTCCACTGTTTCAGTTTGTAAATACTGGGAGGACCTGTATTTCAGAGAAACAATTAGCACTTAATTACTTAAAGGACTGGGTGTTTTGTTCATCTGTTTCTATTTACAGACAGCTGTGTTAAATTTTTACAAATAGAAATTTGTCGCGTTAAATTTTTACAAATAGAAATTTGCCACTGATGCTTGAGCTGCAAGCTGCCCTCATTTGATCAACTGCTCCATATATGGATGTTTGCAATGTAATGAGCCTTTTCCACCATCATTAATCTGTAGGATTTCTGGTCTGTTTAAAACGCTCCTGCCTCTGCTGTTGTCTTTTTGTTTTCTGTCTGTTCATTTACCTTCGACATCCTGGGTGTGCTCCTCAGCTGCACGCTGCTTTGGAATTGCAGCAATACCTGAGCTGACCCAACTCACAGAAGCAGAGAAGCCTCAGCAACAGGAATGCCAACAGCATGGTCAATTAGCCAAGCTTCCAGCTGTACCTATTACAGCCAGCTAAAAGCTGGCATTAGATTCTCTTGTGCAAACCTGGCTTGCAAACAATGCCAAACCACCGTGTGACGACACAGGCGTTTTACTGGGAAATAATAGTGCTCTTTGTCACAGCACAGCACAAGACTGAAGACAATGTTATTTTGCTTGCAACTGTGCTTCTCTCTGCACTGGGGAAAAGATACTGAATTCTATCTCTCACAGCTCATGGAGTATATTACCACTGAATACATCACTGCTGGCATATTTTTTTGCTAAATTAACATTAATGACTGAACCTATGTATCAAACACAACTCTTGACTTCTGAGAATCAGTAGCAGCTTCAGCGAATTTAATGGAGATGCACTGTAGCGTCTAGACAGGAGATACTGGTATGAAATACTGGTAGCTAAAATCCAAATTTGCCCCAAGGAAGTAGAATACCCAAAGGAGAAAAAAATTATCTCTGATATTGCAAAGACAGTTTTGATCCTACAAACTGATCAAAACTTTAAGTTTCTCATTTTCCTCCACAAAGCGTTTTTCTCCTTCGTTTGGAACAACTCACTGAACTACATTCATTCACACCATAAATCAGCCACAGAATGCACTGGAATAAAAAGGCTGTCTTCAGGACATGGGAAGGGATTCCTTTTCTTACCATCATGTAGCTGGCATGCAAGTGTTGTGATCTTCTGTGTAATTATCATCAGCGGACTACAACAAAGTCAGAAACAACAGTTACAGGTCTTGTAATACAAATTATTCCCAACTTTCTCATTGAATGCCTTTATGCCTTTAAAAGGCATAGCTGTATTAGCAACAAGTGGAAAACATCCAATTAAAGCTGAAGGAGGAGCTCAGGCATAAGACAATTGGGTTCAAAACAACCCCACAGTAACTTGCACTGGAATTTTTAATTGCTAAGTGCACACAAAGCCTTATTTTATGTCTCCCTATCGTGCAGCAGTGCAAATTGTAGTTCAGAAGAAATCACACCATCAGGACATACCAGCTTGTGCAGCCCACTGGGCTTCCTTTCAGGCAAAGACCAAATTGAAGCCCCATACAATACAACACTAGAATACAGCAGGGCTGCTGTAACCCAGCTCTGGCTCTTCTTACTGTTACACTCCTATTGTCTGTCTCCTCAGTGCCCTAAAAAAATGTTGACTCTGCAGATACAGATGCTTATTTCCCCACATGAATAGCTCTATCAATTAGGACTGTGTGCAAATACCAGAAGAGCTGTCAGCACAGCAGTTTCCCACTTGCTTCTTGGCCACGCATCTGTGTTGTGAACAGCCTGTACAAGATACACCATTCAGCTGGGAGTGTATGGGCATCTGGGATCTGGAGCCCCTGGAAACAGGAGCTGGTTGTACCTGAGCCAGGCTTGCAGCCACCCAGCAGCTTTGGTGCCAGCTAAGCATGCAGCATAGGAATAGCCACTGTTCCCAGCAGGGTCACTCGTATTTCCCATATCCAGAGCTTCCTGGCACCGAAGGCAAATGTGAGCTGATGCAACTAAGGAATGGGGGAAAAAGACTAAACTCAGCTCCGTGGCATCAAGAGCTGGTTCCCACAAGGATAAAGGGCACAGCCAAGAGCATTTAGAGGAAGATAAAAGGAAAGATGGGAGGAAAACCATGGGGACAGCTGACCACTTCCTCCATCAGCTCTGGTGCCCTAAACACAAAACCTATTGCTGAACATCTGCAAACTGGAAGGACCCATGGCAGGCAAAAAGCAAGGGATGAGCACCTGCTCACACTGCTTCTCCCTATCTCTCTGCCACTGGGGACACTGGCACAGGGTGCCCAGATGTCTCACAACCACAGTAGCCATGAGATGGGAAGGAGTGATGAGGATACACCACTATTTTAAAAGCCTTAGTTGTGATGACTGTGTGTAAAACCAGTTCCAGAAAAGAGATCTGTCTTCGCTGAGGATTAATACAATGGATTGTTTCTCCATTTGAGAATAAATTAACAACATTAACCAGATGGGAGTTTCTGTTTGAACATAAATGATGTCTTCTACTTGGAAATGAAAACTCGAGTTTGTACACATTTATTTAACTATTTACACAGTTTGACCAGTATATGGAACTTTTTTTAAGAGTCATAGATGATTAAACCAAACATTACAGATGTTCATTTTAACTATTGTAATATATTTTCTGAACACAATTAAAGAAAAAGGTTGAGGTTGGTTTTTGTTTTTTTTTAGCTCAAGCACTGTGACTGTCCCACAGATTTCTCAAGTAAAGAAAAAAAAAGTGTAACTTAAATCCAGTGATGTCTCTGTCTAAAATAATGATCAAATACTTATGTTCTACAGAGATTTTCAAGAGATTCTGGATCATCCTTAACTAAATTGACCCACTGGTTACAATCAAATGTAAACCCAATGGTGAAGATAAACTGTTTACAACCTGATTATCCCACTAATATAAATCAAACAGATTCTCAAGATAATTCATAGGCTGAGCATGGTAAACACACAAATACTGGCAAAAGACATTCTTTCATTCTGAGTGGTCTTTTTTTTTAACACTTAATAAGGCTGATCTTTTTCAAGAGTCCACAAGTAATTCTGTGTGGGTAATTTGCATTTTCTACCCAAAACCAGAACACGCAATATCAGTCAATTACTCAATCAGCAACTGTTTTTGTCATTTCAGAAGTCCCTACTTGAAATGTCAATAAAAAAAAGTTTGCACAAAAAATTCAGAATAGGCTTAAATACACACAGAATTTGAATATAATTGTATGTTTTTACCATTATCTTCAACATCCTGTTTCTCAAAGTAGATTTTCCCAGACAAAATTTAGCTTTGCTTTCAAAGATACATAAATCCTAATCCTTTAAGCATATGAAAAGGCAGATTTTTTTAATCCTTAGGAGACACAGAGGCTGTCACTGAACCAAACCGTTTTACTGCAATAAACACAAATTTTTATTTTGACAGTGTCTGACCTTTCTAGCTTTATGGGGGAACATTAACACTTGTTTCAAATTGCTTCAATTTGTTGCATATGTTTCTTATGGCAAGCACTTCACGCCAATATTGAAGTGGGTAACTTTAAACCTCAGGCTCTGAGCCAAAACCGTATGACTTCAAGTGTCTAAATTTAGACACTTGTCTTAGACAAGGCCCCCATGGTAAACCAGAGAGAACCAAAATGCAAACAATCCAAGGGCAGCGGGAGTAAAGCCTGCACTGAAGTCATGCCACATATAAACACAGAGGAGAGAGGTTCTCCTCATCTATATTAGGAATTCATTGCCTCATTGGTGACACATTGTAGGACAACAGAACAAGTCAGCCTTTCCTGCACTTTAATCAGAGAAGATGGAGAGTCTGTCTCCCTCAAATCCCATCTCCAGAGGAGACAAGGCACAGCAAAGTGACGTGTCTGACAAGGCAAGTGGGAAGGAGAGACACAAAGTTCATTAGATACCTCCTGTTCTCCCTCCTGACATCATCATATTACATGTCATACATATTTTCCACGGTGGCTGGAAAGTGGCCCAGCAGAAAAGGACCTGGGGGATGCTGGTCAACAGTGGCTGAAGAGCCAGCAGTGCCCAGATGGCCAAAAGGCCAGTGGCATCCTGGTCTACATCAGTAAAAGTGTGGGCAGCAGGAGCAGGGCAGTGATTGTCCCCCTGTACTCAGCACTGGTGAGGCCACACCTCGAGTGCTGTGTTCAGTTCAATTCAGAGAACATTGAGAGGCTGCAACATGTCCAAAGAAGAGCAATGGAGCTGGGGAAGGGTCTGAAGCACAAGTCCAGTGATAAGTGAATGAGGGAGCTAGGATCATTTAGTCTGGAGAAAAGAGGCTCAGGGGAGACCTTATCACTCTCTACAACTGCCTGAGGGTGTAGGCAGGTGGGAGTCGTTCTCTCCTCTTGAGCTGCACCAGAGGACATTTAGGTTAGACATCCAAGGAGATTTTTCACAGAAAGAGTGATTAGACGCTGGAATGGTCTTCTCAGGGAGGTGGTGGAGTCACTGTCCCTGGAGGTGTTTAAGGAAGGACTAGTTGTGGCACTCAGTGATCGGTCATAAGATGGACTTGATGACCTCAACCTAAATGATTCTGTGATCTCTTCTCTACCCTACTCAGGAAGGTGGAAACCTTGCTTTCACAAGATAAGTGTTGAGTATCAGTCAACACTTCACACAAAGGGCAAGCAATGTTTCAGGTGAACAAGGAGCATCTTCCTCCCTCCTCTCCTCCTGCCCACCATTTTTCACTGACTTGACCTCAACGGGACCATGTCTTTGCTGCAGGAAAAGGCAGAGAACAATAAACAATGGCATTACTGGAACTCTCTGTTAAAGGTGGGGAGGGAAGAATCATAAATTCCTAAACATGTGAGTTTTGATTATTAAAACTTTGAAATACCAGAGTATTGAATTGCCATTTCTATTCAGCCTTTCAGGCAAGCTCTAATTTTAAACAGCAATAAAACATTAAGTAAGTTAATACATTAAATACAGCACCATATCGTATGTAGTCAACTGTTTCCAACATGATACCCCTTTAAACCTTAAACTCTACTGGAAAAAGCCAATAGTGCTAAAAATAAGAAGGGAAGTTAACAAAACTATAAAACTCACAATCCCTTTTCTTACTTCCAGATTTTGTGATGCACAGGTTTTTGGAGGGGAAAAATTAAGTTGAATTTAAGAAGAAAATCTACCTACTACACTTGTACTTACAAATGAAGCACGGAGATTTGTCCCTAGGAAGGAAGAATTTGAAATAAACCAGATTTAGAAGCCTAAACAACTTGCAATCCATCACATTTGAACACTACCGATTGCTGTGTACCCACATGCTGAGTGGTGATTCCACACCCTCTCCACTTGTCCTGTTAAGCACTACAGTTACAAACTACCACAGAAACACAGAATCTGATTTATGTGCGGTGTGATTTCACCTCCCTTCCCATGTTTTATTTATTGGCTATGAGTTTAATCTTAGGTTGTAGCTGCGCAGTACCTCTTACACACAAACCATAGTGGCCAACTTTTAATGTGAAAAAAAAATAAAAAAAATTAAGAAATTGACCCAGGGACAATTTTATTTTAAAGGCATCTAACAGAAGGTATAGACAGCTTTGGGGTTTTGTTCACCTCATGTTAGATGCCATGAAAAATAGCACAAGACTAAGATGCAACCATTTACAGAGAATGCTCAATAGAGGGGTTTACTCCCCTAAATAAACCTTCCAAATGAAAACATATCGGTTAATATAATTTTTAAATACAGCTTTCCCCAACACAATAAATTTGCCAGAAGCATGGGCCAGTGGAAGTAAAGATGTTTTGTTTGTAGACTGCTGTGAGGGTCCTCACCGCATCACAGGCTGGCTTCTGCACTGAGCAAGCTTCAATGCTTACGAGAGAAAAGACGTTTTCCAAGCACAGTCTGCTTGACCTTAGGTAATCCCGTGGAGAAGTCTGGCACACGCTTGCTAGAAATAGTTTCCACTGACCTGATTTCACTAAGAGAGGAGGTGGAGTCAAAAGGCTCATAGCAGACAAGACTCCAAAACAGAGAACATTTATTTCAGGGTTACCTATGCAGCGCTGAAGCCGTGACAAGAAGTTCACACAGTCACACCCTGCTGTGACAGTAACCATTGCTGACAAGAGGATGGCCAAGCTGGCAGTGAGCTCGTACTTTTGCTTTCAACAGTAAGAGGAAGAAGTACTGAAGTATGTCAGAGGAAAAACACTTCACTAAACACACCACTTTCAAAGCAACTTACAATTTCCTGCATGTGATGTGTTGCCTTTTTCTGCATGTGTGTGTGAAAGCTCCCAAGCAGTATTTCTTAAGCCCTCATGGTAGAAACATTTCACTTAAAAGAGTGTTTACTTCTGGAGAAGTGTCCAGGGATGTACTAGATGCATGGAGTTCTCTAGTAGTGCTTGCCTGCTTGAATTCTGCTTAGTTCCCACACTGCAGTTCTTGCAGGGCTCCTACACATCCAATGGTAAGTGATCTCAGGGCTGCTTCCAGTGGACAAGCACCCAGCTGAGCAGCAAAGCAGCAAACAGGCATGGAAAACAGACTGACCCCCCCCCTTACTCACCCTGCACCTGCACTGCTGCTGGGGACCAGCTGCACACCAAGCACTGCTGGAACAGACACCCCAGCAATGTACTGCATGTCACACATTTGGAAGACCAGAAAATGAAAATAATGAACTGAACTTGCAGGACCAGACAACGTTACTGCTCTTTGTTTTAACGTGGTAACAGAGTACATCTATCTTTGCTTTCATCAGCAAATGTATTTCCTTTGTGAAAAACGGCTGCTGTACTTTTATTCCTTCCTTTTGTGGTTGAAACTAAAAGCCCCTGAGAGAGGAGAAAAACAGCAACAAAGCACTAATCACCCAGTAAAAATTCACTGCCTGAAGTGACACTTGTTACTGAAGCATCTGCTTATATATATTACTGAAGCATCTGCTTATATATATGGCTTTTTTAGAGGGTTCTCTCAGTAGTCATCCCTTTCTAGGAGGTTTGCTGAGAATGCTGCTGCTGCTGCTCTGCATGTGGGATAGGGCAAACACAAAGGTGGTGTCTGGAGAGTGATGTCCACCAAAGCACTTGTGAAAGATCTACTGATTTGACACATGGGGAGGAAAACCTCTCAAGTCTCTCAGATACTTCAGCTATGGTCTCTCTAAGACCACAGAAGACTGAAAACTGTGCCAGTGGGTGTAGTGATCTTCACAAACTGAGTTTCTCTCCTGTAAGGAGTGACAGCAAGAATCATAGAATCATTAAGACTAGAAAAGACCTCTAGGATCATTGAGTTAAACCATGTCTCCAGGTGCCATAACTGCATATTTTTTGAACACTTCCAGGGATGGTGACTCCACCACTTCTCTGGGCAGCCTTTTCCAATGCTTGGAAATACTTTCCATGAAGAAACTTTTCCTAAAATCCAATCTAAACCTCTCCTGGCGTAACCTGAGGCCATTTCCTCTCGTCCTGTCTCTTGTTATATTGGGAAAGTGACTCACCCCTGCCTTGCTACAACCTCCTTTCAAGCACTTGTAGGGTGATAAGGCCCCTCCTGCTCTCCAGGCTAAACAACCCCAGCTCTCTACTCATATATGAAAGAAACTCCCATATGCACAACCAGTCTCTGACATTTCACTGAATAGCCTGCAATATTAGGAAATTTTGCTCAGACACCGCAATAATTCAAAGAGGAAACTGAAAAGCTCTATGGCCCTAATCAAGCAAAGGATTGAAACAGACACAGGTTCCATACCTTCTGAATTTTTTCTGGATGATCATGTGCATCTGGCATTTGATCATGAAGCTTCCTAGACTGAAACCTTACCTATTACTATTTTTCATAAATCAGAATCAAGATACCTTATTTTAAACTAATTTTCCTTAAAGATATATATATATATATATATATATATATATGTATATATATATATAATATATATGTATATATATATATATCATATTGCTATACTCAATCTGAGCCTGGAATACAAAGGGAAAAAACACAAACTGTATGATATTATTACTGTTGTATTATTAAGTTGTATAGGCAGGCAACTTACCAGCATAATCCTCTTAGCATAAGGAAGAAGAAATGAGAGAAAGAGTTAGGATTTCATTTTTTCAGGTACAATGTACAAATGCCATGGCAAACCAAGCAAAATAAAACATGCATGTTTCTCTGAAAGATTGATTTGAATTAAGGTGGAAGCACAGGATTCAATTACTGTACAGTTAGCATTCAAAAACCAATAGGATTTTTGAGGAAGTAGTAAAGAGAAAATTCCTAAATTATACCACTACATATTTGAGAAATAATATAACCAAAAGAAATTTGATAAAATATATACACATTTTTTAAAATTAATTAAAATTGAAGTGCAGCAAGGTGGAAATTATTTTCCTTAAAACCTGGCAGTCATTTTAAAAAAAAACACAAGTTTTCCCTTAAGTACTATGCAATACATGAAAAACTCTTAAATCAGTTAATAGCTGCAAGAAGCTTGAATGCAGCTCTGTCTGTGGGACTGAGTGACCAAACCTTTCCTTTTTAGGAATTAAGAACTAACTAGTCACCAGCAGGTGAGAAGTCCCTTCTTATTTCGTAGCCTGGAAGTGATGTGCCACAGCTTGATCTTTCACTTTCCAGTTTGCTTAAGATATGACTCAGAAGTTACCTTGTTCTCACCATCTCTACCTGCATTTTACAAGCTCTGTTCTCAAAATGGGAGGGCTCCAAACAAATAGCACAACCATCTGTTACTAAAAATGCCCCAAAAATTTGCAAATTTGCAAATATTTGCAAACACGCTTCAGAAGGGTTATGCATGCAAGTTGCTAAGTGCACAAGGCAGGTCAAGAGAGCAAATGAGGGATGCTGGCTTTCAGCACTGCTGCTGGGAAACACTCAGTGATCATCTGGCTCATCACTTCAGGGAACTGACAGTGGAAACCTGATGGCAATAGAACTGGTTATGTGCCTATTGGATGTGGATTAAAACTTCCTCCTTCCAACCAGATATCACCAGACTTATGGAATACTTAGTCAGCAGATGATGGTTTATTTGTTTCATCTTAAAGATTCCTCCAAATCCAGTGTCTTGCCTTCTCAGTATATATCCCCAGCCACGTTCACCCAAAATTGTGGGTGGCAGGAGGGAGATGAACTCAGCTCCATGGTTCTGTCTCACTCATTTCTGAAACCCTGAACTTTAATTCCATCCTCCCAGCTATGTCCTGTCCTAATGATTCCCTATTACCACATGCAACAGATGAGGAACCATCAAATATGAGAGAATGAACAAGGGGAGGTTCAGTTGCTGCTCATACATGGTAGAACTGTGTCCAGGGAGTATATTTTATCTCTCTGGGTCATCACATCTGTTCAGTATGGGAAAAAGCTTCAACGGGCACATATTTGCAGCTGAAGAAAACAGGTTTTAAGACAGATTTATGATGGTGATCTGGGTGTCAACACTTTGGATTGCAAGTTTTCAATACTTCATTACAGTATTTTTATTTATTTGTAGCTTCTAAAATACACCATGAAGGTGCAGGTCATATCCATAAACAAGTTCCATTTTTTTACTATTTGGTAGTTTTATTTTTGACTGAAGTTTAGGAATTGGTGTGTATCTTGAAGAACCAAGTCAAAATCAAATAACATAGTAAGCATTAATTTATCAAGAAATAATTTATTAATTAATCAAGCATTATTTTTTCACTACCATTATTATCCTCAAGCTCATCATTAAATAAGAGTAGTTACTTTTTCATCAAGGGAACAGAGAACACTTCCTAGTCTATAAAAAAACAAATACCATTCCTCTTCTTTCACCTCCAGTCTCAGCTGCATCTTTATTAAATGTATCCAGCAAGAGAGAGCTAATATGCCTCACAGGGCATTTCTGAACACAATATTCAGAAAAGTATGATCTCTCACATTTCTCTCTCTGTCTCTGCCTCTTACACACACTGAGCTATAGCGTTCCAATCCCATTTATAGGCTTTTTGGTAGGTCATGCTCTTTGAGAACATGCTTTTGTGTATTGAAAAAACTGCAGAAAAAATTACAGAACTACATTTCTTTAAACATGTAAGTTCACATTACTGCAGCCTCCTTAATAAAAAACCTCCAGAGTTTGAGAGAAACTTCTCCTCCACCACCTGAAGTTTAACTAAATGCTGAAACCCACCACCTCAAAGAGAGAGACACATACACAAAGACAGCAAAAACCTTCATTCTCCTACTCTGTGCCAGTAAGATGAAAGAGACTTGGAAGAGCCATGTAAAACTTACTGTGTGAGTTTACAGAAATATTTCATTGTATGTTACTAATTACTCTGTCTTCAGACATTCAATTTAACAAGTGGAATACAGATTAGCACACTGGTTTTAAATCATGCAAAAGCATACCTTCCACTCACAAACAAAGCACATGGGGTGAGCTGTCTTTATCTTTGCAAAGCATCCTCTACTGCTTCCCTGAGTGAAATCAGAGACTACAATATGTATGAAAACCGTTTCACACATATCACAGCATACAAAAAGTTGGGCCATTTAAGCAGCAGCCACAAGCTGGCCCCACAAGAGAAACAGTGCTAACAACCCAAGCTGATCTCTGTCTCTCTGCCTGGGTTACTGACCCAGCTCCACCTGCAACTCCTCCCTGCCCAAATCCTGCTCTCACACCCTGGGGTGCTGGGCTGGGGAACACCTTCAAGATAAATCAGCATGGGGGAAAGGAGACACAGAGCTGACAGCTGTGCCTAGGAAGCTGGAAGGAGAGCAGCCCACCCCACCTCCCAGGGCAGACCACCAGGGAGCAGAGCACCAGCCACATAAGTCACTCCTACAGCTCCAGGGACAGACTGCCCAGCTTATCCTCCCAGGCTGCTCTGCAGGGAAACCTAGCTAGCTCACTACACTCTCCCTTCCCAGCTACACAGCTTCTAGCAAGAAAACAGTAGAAACAATGAGTCATTGCAAAAATCATACAGTGCTTATTCCTTTTTTTTAAAAAAAAAACAACAAAAACCAACCAACCAAACAAAAACCCCCACCCAAATCAAAAACAAAACAAACAACAACAAAACTCCAAAGATCACAACAAAAGCCTCAGAAAAAGCTTAAGGGTAACAAAATGGCAGGTGCTCCACAGACAACATAAAAATCATTCTTACAACTTACTGAAATCAACTAACACTGATTGACACAGGAACCAGTTTGCAGACTCACTCACCCGGAAAAATCTGTAGTGAGAATACCATAATGAAATATGTATATTCGGCTTATGTGGCACAGTGTGAGGTATCCCATAGCTACGACAAAGGAGTACCTAAAAACATAACACACAGAACACATAGTTACCAACACGAGTACCAGCAAGAACTAGAATCACTCAAATTGGGTTGGGCTTGTTTTGATTTTTTCAGAGTGTTAAAAAGTCTGAAGCTACGCTACAGGACCTGGAAGGAATTCTCAGAGGAGACTGATGGTGTTGTATGCAGCTGAAACCTGACAGAGGTGTCTCCTCATTCTGGGGGTGGGGAAAAAAATGGAAGAAGAAATAGGATTGATTCAAGTTGTAAAATTCAATTTTCAAAACTCCCATGTTCGCATATTATTTCAAAATTTCTGTCCAACTTAAGTATTTAAAACCAGATGATATTGTATGTCAGTCGCTGAAGTTATCCACTGCATTTTTTGTCTGTAAATGTTTTTCATATGCAACTCTTCTTCAGAAAAGAAGAGTTAGAAAGTTTAGAAAGACTAAAATATTTCAAGTTTAAGGTGTTCACTTTCGTGATTTTTTAAGGGCAGATGATGGCACACAGCCTGATCTTTTCAGCTCTCCATGCTGAAGCACACCATCTTCCAGAAAAGTCATAGAATCAGATAGATTGGAAAGGATCTGTAAGATCACTTCAGTGCCCAGCTGAAGAAGTGTTCCTTAGGTAGATTGTGACAAATTCACTCTGTGTTTCAAGATGATAGCACACTTCTGTTGGGCAGGGCAGTAGCCCTGAATAATAGATAGAAGATTCTATCTTAACAGCTGAACAGTCTGAAGACTGGAAATGTTGCAGTATTTGCATGGGCAGATGCAGCCTTTCATAAAAGTAATTTCTCCCTGTATTTACATGAGCAAGAAAAAGGACACTGGGGAGGAAAGAAGCAGGTGGATCTTTGGAGACAGACTGGCACATGAAGCAAACAAAACAGTGCAATGGCGAGCTGGGACACCAGAATGAAAGGCTGGCACCACATGGACAGGCCAGGACCAGGTCTACTGGTGTCCTCCATAGCAGAGGTTATCCATGTAGGGGAGAAGAGGCAAAGACCAACAGACAAAAGGAGATGGCACATCCTGCAGGCCTGGTAGGGCTGAGACTCAGGATACTGGTAAGCACAAATTGCCAAGAGAGGTCCCCCCGCCCCCACGAGAGCACCCACCACAGGGGAGAACTAAAGGTGAAATCAGACAAGAGGATCAGTCAGCAGACAACTGAAAAAAGAGCCAGGCCTTTGTCAAATTATGGCTGGTTTTAAAAGAAATGAGTTTTTCCTCCCTGGGGGCTAATAAACTGCAGTGTGAGTGACAGTGATGGATCACAAGGCAACCTGTGGGTCATGTGGCCCACAGCAAACAGCTGGATGAAAGGCAGACTGAAAGGACATGACAAATTCTTCAGCAGATTCAGAGTAGAATTTATCGTATTTTATCTGGGTCAGGCATCCAGTCCTGCCTCAGCAAGGTCCTTGGATTCCCCTCTCATCAGCAGAGAATGGCAAGCATCCATCCAAAGGCAAGTCACCCAGCTCAGACATGTAACAGCAAGAGACAGGATGAAGGATCTAAAATAAGCCTCCATGCTGAGGGGTAAAGCACTTAGATTGAAATGGGGAGCAGAGATACACTGAACTGCTGATGCAGCTGGGAGCATTTCTGATGCTGGATTAATTCATCCATTTATAGTCCTTGAAAGCTAGTAGCTTCACCAGAGAGTAAACTAGCAAAAAATAACCAGGGAAAAGAATATGAAGGTTAAATGATGCAGTTTATTAAATTTTTTCTCTTCCACTGCATTTTTCTGAGGGAATAAAGAGCCAGGTCTTGAAGCCCCACTCTGAAGGAGCTGTTCCCCTTATGAACAGGTCCAGACCTTAAAGTGGCATTGTTCAAGCTTACTCTTAACTGGTCTGAGTATGTTGTTACTTTGCCAAAATTAACGATGTGAATGTGCTTTGAGTCACACTGTTATGGCTAGTAGCATGCAATAGAGAAGTCCTAACCCAATTCTCCCTCAGAACCCTTGAAGTTTTTCAGCAGGTTGGACTGACATTTCACATAGACTCAAATCAACACACAACTGTCTTGCAGCAGTGGGCGACGCTATATGAACTGGCTTGGTTTGTGTTTCAGTATAAAGCTATTTTGCTATTAGCCATTGTGGTTAACTGGCTAAAGAGAAAGAGTGAGGACACACCATTGAAGTTGTGTCCTTTTCCTTATCACCTTATCACTTGTCTAGGAAGATGCAAATAACTTGGATGATTCCTTGGTTCCTCCGATCTACAGTCATTAACTCCTGCAATTCCCTCAAGTGACAGGAATGACATGACCAGGAAACCATAACATGATTTTTCTAACACCTTTTTATTTGGTGTCTGGATGGCATTTCTTTAACAAACATTGTCCAATTACCTTTTTTTTTTTTTTTTTTTTTTTTTTTTTTTTTTTTGTGACATTATTAATTACCTCTAGACTTCTGGGCTTTTCACTCTGTGAGAGGGTGAAAAAAACACCTCCTTAATACCTATCTGGCTGGTGCAAAATGCTAGTAACTGCTGTAGACAGGATTTTTTTTACAGTTCACATTTCTAAATAATAGAAAAGTCATAAGTAGGGTTCCCATTTAGATATTAGAGAGGTGCCTCTTCAGGACAAAAAGGAAGGTGAGAGGATTATCTGACTATCAGATTCTCAAACAGTCCTGGCCTTGAAGGCAAGCGAAGAAAGGGTTTCTGTTCCCAAGCCTAGATTTATGTGGATTCTGAGCATTCAGCAGCAGCTACAGAAACTGCCAGACAGAGCAGAGACAAAAAACACCTGCCACACATCCAAACCATAAGCTTCTGCTTTAAGCAATAACAGTTCTGGTATTTTCTACTTTTTCACAAAGCCCAGTACCAAAAGCAAGACCTCATTTTGTGGATCACTAAGCCACCTTATTTGAATGACCTAACTCAAGAGTAAGTGGAAAATACCGAAAGGCCAAACAGCAATCAGGAAAACACATAAAAAAGGAATATCAAATGCAAGCTGGAAGAATACAAGACCAACGAGAACATGACTTCATTGTGTTTAAGACATCAAAGGTTTGTCCATAAATTATTATGCCTGCAAAAGTCAAATTTTGAGGGCAGCAATTTCATAGGAAAATGCAATACATCAACCCAAAAAACCACAAATTGAGATTACAGCTGTTTCTGTAACTCCATGAACAAAGCTCCTGCAAGTTACTGGGAAAGAAGGAAAGAAGAGAAGGTGGTTCTAAAAACTCCTCATGATTCTCTCTGAAAGCAGAGAAATGATGAGAGGGGCAGCTGCAGACTTGCAGCCACATCAGCTCACCTGTGGATGTTGGGAATACTCGCCATATTCATAATGCCATAGTTCATCATCACCAGGACAAAAAGGTGAATGGAATACCTTGAAGAAAACAAAGTGAGTATTTAGATAATTTCTGTGTCACCTGGAAGTGCTGGCAGTTGAGGGTAAGAGAATATTTCCCTGTGCAAATGACATCAATGTGATGTCATATCAGGGTACCAGTAAAACTGGATTACCACACAACATTTTTATAGCCTGACTATCCAACACAGACTGATACTAACTAAAAAGATATTACCCATATGTTTAACTGAAAGAGTCGCCTGGCTAAAAGTACACATTCAAGTTAGATACATCTCTTCCAAAAGAGGTATCTTCACAGCAGACTGGTGAAGAACTTCCAGAACTAACATCACAAATTAAATTAAATACTTCACTTAAAAATACTTCCATGAGTCATTTTACTTTGAGGGTTTGGAATGGTTACGTTGGTTAGAATCTTTTTTATTAAGGTAGCATTAAGAGCTTTCAGACTAAAAAGATGTAATCCAGAAAAGCTGATATGAAGTTTAAAATTATTTTTACCCAAGCCTTGTCTAAATGGTTAATAAATACTTACCACCCAAAGCAGAAGACAGCAAAGTATATTCCAAAGAGGGTGGCAAATGCATGGCGAACAGCAGAGCTGGCATGACTGGGACTCAAGTAAATACGAAACCAAAATGCAGCCAAAAGTGCAAACAGCTGACAGGCTACAAAATTGATCTGTAAAAGAAAAGCAAAACAAAAAACTGCTTTGATTCTTGGAGGAGGAGGGGAAGGATTCTCTCTTTTCTCAAAACAATTAAGAGCAGAGGTAGGAAACGGGGGGGGAAATCCTGAGCTCCAAATCTTTTGCTTCTCAGCATTCTCACTTGTGAACTCATGCAGTAACTTTTCTTGGCCAGTGACAGAAGGGATTAAACAAGCACACAGCCACCCAGAAGCAGATGAGGAAGGTCAGGCTCCAGCTACCCCAGGGCACAGGTTCTCTGAATCTCTGGGGGTTCTCACTCTCCTCACAGGAAGGCTCTGCTCTGCTGCCAGCCTGGCTCTGGTGCAGGGTACATCACTCCCCTTCTCAGTCCTCTTGGCAAGAGGCAGGGGCCAGAAAGCAGTCTGGGACTCTGAAATACTACCCCAGTACCTGACATTCCCCCAGCCCAACACAAGGGCAAAATCAACAATCCTGATGTGACACTGCTGACTAGCAGTGAACTTTTAGCTGAATTCCTCCACTCCACAGCATCTTCCACACAGACCTTCCAACTCTCCATTTTTTTGGGGTTTGAGAGCAAAGAAAACAACTTTTCTTTACCATCAAGCAGACATATAAAAGAATATGCTTCCTAAATGTTCTTTGGCTGCTTCATATGAAAATCAGTCTGGCTTCACTACAAGGAGGTAGTGGTGGCAGTGGGAGCACAAGACATGCAGAAGGCAAACAGCACAGGAATAGAGGCTACTCTTGTCAGACACAAGGACAAGCAAAAGCTCCAGTGTTCTCCAGAGGAAAACCAATACCATGCTGCCTTCTTCAAGTCACCTTCTCTTTGACAGCTTCTGCAAAAATCCCAGGAGTCAGAGGAAAAACAGATCAAAGTCAGAGTCAAAACAGAGCTCAGGAGCTGCCTCTGTCAGAGCAAATACACCACTGGGATACAACATCCTGAAGTCCAGCCTGGACCCTAGACAGCTGGAGGTAAATTAATTTATTCACTTGCAGTGTTGCAGTCCTTTGTTTTGTTTTGTTTCTTTCTTTTTAATCTTTTTTCTTTTTTTTTTTTTTTTTTATTCACCCTGAGCTCTCCAGCAGCAAGTCATCCCAGACCAAGCAAAACTAAACAGGCTGCAACATTTAAGCAATCACTTGGATTAGAGGATTATCCGAAGCTATCAGTCCAGGACAGGATAATACATCTCACTCGGAAATGCTCTGACATGCTGGCTGTCCAGGGGTAGCTGGATTCTGCCAGCCTTCTTGTCAAAAACATTTACAATGTGTTTAACAAGATACTATAGCCCCAAAGTGCTTTTATTCTGGTGGACTACATCCAACATGGTGTTAACTGTTCATGCAAATGCTTTCATTAAAGGTTTGTTGGCTTCATTGGTGCAGTTGCTTTATTTCAGTGATGCAGGCAGTCATGCAGTAGAATAATGCAATCATTTAAATACTTAGGTGTGCTGAATTTTAGTTCTTTGGAGCAGAGACAATATAAATTTATTTCTTGCTCATGCAAGCAAACAGTATTTATAACAAATAATTATAAATAAAAAGAAAATTATTATATTACATATATGTCATAAATTATGAATTTATTATATATATGAAAATATATACTTACATATACCTATATATATACATATATACCTATATATACATATATACATATATACATATATATATATATACATATATATATATATATACACACACATATATATATATTTAAAAATATAAATATAAAACAGAATTATAACCAAAGCAAGTAATTCTCATTTTTAGTGCAAGATTTATAGAGGAAAACAACAAAATTGTGCTGGTCTCATAAAACCCAGATGCTGTAGCAGAAATCCTGAACTTGTCTGTTACCATAGAGTTACATTCAAAATGCTAACACCTTGCTCCCACCCTTCCACAGACAGAGGTGCAGCAGAAACCACTGAAGCCCCTACAGGGATGCTTTCTAAAAAAGTCCCCAAGACAGATGGGTGTCAACTCATCAGCGACAATTCAGTGAAGTTTAATCCCCCCCATCCTGCTCCAATTTAGGGTGACACTGGCACATCCAGTGCAGCTCAACTCTGTGGCATGCAGAGCTTCTCTGATCTGGTGTAAAAAAGGAAAGTGCAAAGACTCACAGAAGCTGACGTGACTGATTGTTTGAAAGACAATACCCTCCTCTGTGCAGTGCCACTCACGGAAGCTTTACACCAGTAAAAGCCATCATGATAAGCAGGCATTTGCTTTTTGCTTTCATCCTGCCCTTGTATACCCAGTTTGAGATGTTAAGGATGCTGGGATCTGAGAGGTTCACACACACAGCACGAGGAAAGTGCAAGATCCCAGAGCAGACACACTTGTAATATAATTTAAACAGCTAAGGTGGGGAATAACAGTGGCAGCAGCAGCAGCAAAAAAGCAGCAGCGCCTTCATCCCAAGCCAACATCCAGCAAAGCACAGTTCAGCAGCCTCACATACATGTGCTGTTGCCTGCCTTCATCTTTGAGTATGTGTTACCTGTGCTCCCAACCTTGCCACTATCACACCTTCATTTTGTTGTGCAAATTAACCAGGACAATTAATCAAGACTGTGCTCTTTTTGCAAGGGTCGGTGCAAAGCCTCGTACCAGGTCAAAACGTCACCCTTATGTTTCATTCAGTTTTTGGTTTATAAGGGCTGTTTCTGCAGAGCAGCCAAACATCACAGACCCAATGCACTCAGCAAGCAATAATCTGGCAATAGACCAGACTTGCTCTGTTCTACACACAGGAATAGAGGGACACAACAGCTTTTCATATAACCACCTCTATTTAGTTATTTCTATGTACCATTTTAAACACATGCAGTGTTCACTTGCATACACACAAAGACCAACAGCTCATCTGACAGTGACTTTACTGCATTCCATTTGACATTAGTTTTATTCTTCATGCTACATACTTAAGGCATCCAAGTAAACAGATCCCTAAGAACTTTAAGAAATGTTGAGCTGCATCACAAGTAAACTAAGCCACACTTTCCTTCCTTTCCCTTTCCAAAGAGAAAAAGATTCATACTATTCCCTTTTGGTTATTTCCACTGTTGCTAAAAACACTTTATAAACAGAAAATTCAGGGCTTCTGAACACTGATGAATGGTGCCCAGGCAAAAATAACACAGAAATTAAAGTTATATGCAAATTAACCTTTTTCAGCATTGCAAGTCATTTGACCTATGTTTTTAGCTAGTCACATCTATTCGGTGTTGCCATCAAAATTTTGCACATCTGGTTTCAACTTTGCTAGCAGAAAGGAAACACCTTTGCTTATTACAGTCACTTTCTTCCATGCTCTAGAGAGTAAGATGTAATAAAATTAGGAATTAGAGCACATGATACGCTGCCAAAAGAAGACAGTATCTTCCTTTCATTTTCCAAGATTAAACACTGGAAGACAGAAAGGCAGCCTCATCACAGTATTCTGCAACGACATCTGGAAGACTTGTATCTGAGTCACAGCCAGCTGGAGACAGCCTTGCAATACAGAAACAAGATATCCCACACTTCTGGAGAGAGAGAAAATCTGGAACAGCTCCAGCGCAACCAAGTCGATCGTTATTGTTGTCTGGTTAATGAATCCTTTAATTCTTTATTAGTCTCAACTTTAAAAGGTTGGATGGATCCAGAGAAGGTATGAACAACGAAGGAAAAAAATAAACTGTAGCTCCTCCCTTTATTCTTTCAAATTCTGTAGTAGCAATAACTCAGCAGCGAAGTTTCAATTGCAAATCTGAGTTTCACACAAAGTTAGCACTCAGATCAAAACAACCCACCAAGTACTCATGATGTTGATGCAAGAATAGCCAAACAAAGTGGTTTCAAGGTCTCCCTATTGGATTATGCTATAATCCAAGCCTTCAAAGTACATAAAAGGTCAGTTCCATCTGTCCTGAGCCTTTGCATCTTCTCCCATTTTTAACAGGGTGAAACTTGGCAAACATTGGACTGGTACTGTATAAAGGGGAAATGCTAATGCCTAGGGATTTGGAACCACCTTTTAGGTCATCTCCATCAACAGGCAGGGCCTTTTACACAGGAAAGTCATCTCCTCAACTTCCTAACCATTCTCAGAGGAAATCCATAAATTTTTTTTCTCAGTATTTTAGTTGATCCAATTAACCATCTGCAAGTGGGCACTTCTAAGGGCAAGTACCAGTGGGCAAATCACAAAATAAAGGTCCCAAATGCATGGAGTTAAACAAATACATTTAAAAATCTCACCCTTTGGAGGACATGAGCCCAATGTCAATAACACTGAATAGGAATAACCATCACTTTTTGTCCTGGGAGCAAACTGGCCCTGTAGTGAAGGCTGGGTAGGAAAAAAAAAAAACCACAAAAGTAGTAACTTGTCAAATCCCTATAACAGGAGAAGCCATAGAGGATTACCAAAGAGAGAGGTAAATGTGTTGCTTGGTGCACTGAAAAGTTACTGAAAAAAAGTCCAAAAAAAATCTTAAAAGGAGAAAAGAGAAAGTGCTCTTCCTAGCTAGAAATTCTTGAGATGGAAAACAGAAAATATGAGAGGAGACAAAACCTGACAATACACCTTTAAACCAAATAATTACAAAGAGTCTTGATCACTGCTTATTGTAGTTGAAGGTAGGCTATTGATAACCCACTTCAGGTAGTTCATTTCTGCTCACCCCATAAGCCTTGCATCTGCAAATCTCCATTTCAAAAAGTGGCAATATACATTTGAGAATGTATATTCACACTCCAGGAAGAGATAGTTAAGTACAAACACATAGCCTCCTATTTTAGTGCTTTTAATCTTTACCTTACAGTTAAGTAGCAGAAGGAAATATCCTGCATTCTGTTTTGACCACAAAAATACTTTGTTTTTCCTCTGCTACATTTTTCCTCCCTTAGGCTTGCCGAAAATCTGATCTCACTTTCCAAAAATCTAGGAGGATATAACAAATTGACCACGCAGTTCTCTCCAAACTCCAAATGACAATTAAGTCCATTACCCAAACCAGATCGTCCTCTGTAAGCAAAATTCCTGTTAATGCTGTAACTCTGACAATCACTACAAGCAGTCAAACTGCTAACTTGCCCCTTGTTGGATGACAAGGTGCTGGTGTGTCCTCAAGAGCACAGAATCTTTGGATAAAAACCAGGCATGTTGCACATTCACACACATTCACAGACAGAGGTACAAGTGTGTTGGAGCACAGCCACACTGTCAGAATATTCCCAGCCAGTATCCAGGTCCATGTCCACTTCACCATGTAGCAGATGATGCAGTCAGGTTATAGATATGACAGAAGATACCTCTACTTTTATTCCAGGCCTTGGACTTACCAGCCAAGTGAGAGAATAAAAGGTTAAAACTGCATTTCATTTGCTGAAAGGAAATATAAGAATAGAGGACTCTCATGGTGGCTCAGTATAAATATGAAGTTGCAGCTCATGGTCAAGATATTCTGCATTTGTTGTCATGTGCTGATGAGCTTCTGAGCTTTAGGAGACTGCTACAAGGCTGTTATCTGGTAAATCAGAATTTCTCCTCTATTCGCAGACCTAGCACAGATGACCAAACAGCTGCTTTTAGTATTTGGAAAAGCATAAAGAACCTTGCTAACAGAAACTACTGACAGCAATAGCAACTCCTCAAGTCAAACCCCTCTCTGTGGAGTACAACAGCGCTTGGGTAGTATTTTGGAGAGGGGATGCCATAATAAAGCATTCCACTCTGCCAGAGATCAGCCCCATCTTCCAGGACGATGCCTTTCTTGCAAAGAATAAAGCAAGAACTACAGAAATTCAGTAAATTATTTTTCATGTTTAAAAGTTTATTTTGCATATATAACCAAAGACACCTGGCAAAAAGCATGTTTAAGTTCACTTTGCTGGAGACATTTCTACTTTGATGTTGGAAAAGAGACCTGCTGTTATTACAGCGTTTCATAACATCTAAAATGTGATATTTAGAAGGGGCGTGCTAAGAATGAGAGATGGAATAGTCTTTAATCAGATCTCAAAGATATCTGATACTTGCTGAAATTTCTCAAAATATTTTGATCTTCCAGACTATTTTTATGAACTATAAGGACAAATATTCTCTGCAGAGATCACTTAGCTCTACACAGGGAGAGGACAAGCACCTCCAAAAAGGAGGGCAATATCATCGAGACCATGTCAAGTTTCCCACTGCTAGAATTCTGACTTGGGCTTCCATGAAGGAAAAGGATTTGTGTAACACCATCTATGCAGTTCCCCTTAATGCCCACAGCAGGATTGCTTTGCACAGAACTCAGTGCACTGACAGCCAGCATGAACAGGCATTTGTAAAGGGGGCAGAACTGACTTTCCCTTGCAGGATGCTGTATTTTCTGTTCATAGCCAGCCACTGAGGGCTGCAATCAGCATGAATCAGAGAGGAGGCAAATTAATTTAAATTGGGGAAATACTGGCTCCACTGCTGACATGTCACATCTCCAGTGCTATACAGAAACTATTTATTTCTCTGGCTTTGTGTTGTAGGAGTCCTATGGAAGATTTTGGGGAGTACAGAAGCAAAGGCTTGAAAATAGAATTTCTCTCATGGGAGAGACAGAGAGAGAAAAGCATAAATGCATGACTAATTTAAGATTATTGTCTTCTTCAGAAGCAGCACTAAGTTGTCAAAGCCTTGGTGGTTTTTGTCCAGCTGCATGCAGAAAATGGAGTTGGTGAAGTAGAATATACAAAACTGACAATACTTTGGCTTGTTGTGCTGTTTTCCTGGGTAAATTCTGTTTCCCTACTTACAGGGTCAAATATCCTTCCATGATTTAGACTGTAAACTTGAAACAGATGTTCTTTCTGGATTACCTCTATGAAACCACTTGCAGAATAATCACAGCAGGGCACAAAATATAGTTATAGATTAAACCCTGAGTCATCAAAAATTGTAAATTAAAAACATTTAAGTCAAAAGTAAGCTTGAGAAGTCAAATCTACATCATAATGCTAAGTCACACTCCCATACACTTACCTTTGATAAATTTAATATGTAGACCTGATCCAAAAACAGCTTTAGTTCACTGTCAACAGCTCTCACATTGAGCTGTAATAACTCTGCATGTTGAACAGATGTTTAAGTGATGATCATTTATGTGCAGCAATGTTCTGCCACTACCTGTACCTCATTAATTACTGCTCTCTCAGCAAGTGATGCCAAATGATGAAATCTGCTTGTATCTAAGATAGTCAGCACTGATTCCTGCCTGTAAAAGGAACAGCAGCAAAATCAAACAATTTGGAGCCTTTAGTCATTCTGGTGGTTCTTTTAAACCAGAATGCCTTTAGGTTATTAGAATATGATGTGTTTCTTCAGACTGCTCAGCAGTGAGGAAGCACACTAATTACAGAACCTTTAACTCCAAAAAATACTTTAAAAGCATAATTTGACATACCTCTGTGCCCGTGGAGTATTGCACAGTACTGCATGTCAGACATGACTAAAAGCAGAACTACGGCCAGCAGGTCAGAGTATGGTATTTTAATTAAAAAAAAAGAAAAGAGGAGTGAAGTGTTGCTATCCAAACAAGAAGTTTGACACACCCCAAAAAAAAAAAATCCCAAAAAAATTAACAAGAAAAAAAACCCAATACCAGAACTACCAGCTTTGCTTCCTCACAAAAGAGTCACTTGGATCAAGTACTTCTGGTAGGAAGGATGGCATCTTGTACCATCTACTCTCCTTGGTTATGCACAGATTCATACTGATGAAGAAGAAACAGACTGACCTTATCACCACATTACTCCATCATTCCAGCCATTCTGTCAGGTATGCTCAGAAGGCCCCATTTAAGCATATGTAAAGTCAGGAGAGAGATTCTTAAGTGAAAATTAACAGAAAGAGGGAGACAACAACTCCAGGAGAGTAAAATACAACAAAGCAGACACTTGAGTCTGTGCAAAGACTTCCCTGAAAGTCCATAGAACTCTAAGTTCCCAGGGTGGGAACACCACAACATTGTTTCCTCTCTCTCTTTCTAAGCCACCTGCAGAGTTCAAGCACCCATCTGGAGCTTGGATCCTTGGTTTCCATAATCATTAAATACACCCCATCCCCACCTTTTCCTCATAAAGGAATTCGTGGATAACAGATACTGACCCCAGCCAGTCTTTTCAGACATGATGGGTGCCCCAAACCCCAAACAGTTATTTCCACACCACATCTCAAGAGCACTGCTGAGTTCCCACCTCACAACAGTGTCCTTTCATCCACCACAGACAATGGATGGACACCACAGCACCAAAAAGGAAGCAGGACCAAGTCAGGTCTCATTAGACATGATCCAGCTCGAGTTCACCAGCCTCAAGCACTAACTGATCCTGAGATTACGGTCCAGTTTCTACATCTGCATTCTTGAGTAAATAACTTCAAAGTAGCAGCATGGAGAATAGCATCAGCACAGACCTGATTTTTCTCCCCCCATATCTAAAGGTTTAGCTTTTAAAAACTTAGGACACAACACAGTAAGTAAAGCACCTTTTCACTTTGTCTGCATAACTGATAAATACACAGCTGATCTATTCAAAACACAAAGAAGGAATACAGACAAATGTTTGTCTACCCAACCACCCTGCTAGAAGGTCTTTCCGTGACTTCAGTGTAAATGATATTCTCCAAATCCCAATGGGGGTTGCCTGAACACAGGAATGGCAGGATACTTATGGCAGTGTTTGTGAAGTCCCAGTTCAGAAACACACTTAACTTTCAGGCTGGATGAAAGCCTTGAGCCTGCACATATTCATCAATTTAAAAATAAAACAATACGCTTAAAGTGCAATCTGTCACTAGAATGGGAACTGGCACATCTAAAATAACTTGCCCCATTCTTGCTGCTGCAATGTCTGTGTGATTCTGTTTTCAGTTCCTTTTCTATAGAAAAATGTCAGTGGTCTTTAAAATTACAAACCAATGCAAACAGAGCAGTTTTGTTCTCATTATCCCAGTGATATCCCAGTAAGTGCACACAACAGAAAGAAACAAATATCAGTAAGGGGAAAAAAGTGCCAGCTTGACAGGTTATTCTAAGCCAAAGGAAAGTTGTTTTTTTCCCCTCTGTAGAAACTGTCAGCACTGTGCTAAATTTAAGCACATTATCCTTGGAATTAGTGGCTTGATCAAAGACTAAACTTTTCAGACATCGCAATGGTATTATGTAACACTTCATTAGGCCCTTAAACACAGAAAATCTGGAACATCCTTTATTTAAATGCTCAGTCATGTTCATAGTAACTTAAAGGCACTGTAAAAATTAGCATACTAGGACGTGCTTAAAAAGTTTAGGCATGGACTTCGCTAGAGAAAAGGATAGATTTAATCTGACCTAACACTCATCTCAATACCAGAGCTACTCCATCTAATTTTCTTTTCATTTCAGTGTGGAAAAAAAGGCAATTCTAGGTTTCAATTCATCAAATCCTGAAGCATAATTCTAAAACAGGCACTTCTACTATAAAAGTACTCTAGAAAATTAGATTTAGATGCAGAAATGCAGACTTATAAAAAGTATTTATACTACACACACTAACTTTACCAGAAGCAAAAAGAAATCCCTTAATTGTGAAACTGGACTTCATTTAGCTGTAAGAAACAAAGTTTTCAAAAATGACCCATAGATTGTCATCCTTTAGTTTTTGAGTCAACACTTAAAGACACCATAAAAAGGTATTGTATTCCAGAAGCTGGTATTCTACACTAATATCAAGTGCCTGAAATAGAACTGGGATAAAACAAAACAAAATGCAAACCTAAAACCAACCAACCAAACAAACAAAAAAAATGGTGCCAGTCAGGAGAAAAGCATACTAGCATATCTACTGCTAGATACGAGTGGAAGAGTTTTAGGGTAACAATGCTCCCACACAATGGGTGTAGTCAAACACACTCAGTTTCCTGCTTCCCCAGGCAGGTGCTACAAACCTGACTTCCTCCTGTCCTCTTCCTTGCCTAAGCAGTTTTCTGTCTCTGAAATACACAGGAACAGCACTTGCAGATAGAGTGAAGAACAAAGCAAGTGCTTTTAGACAAGCATAAAAACAACACTGGGGTACATCAACATGGAAAGGTGAAGATCTGTGTTGCCATCTTATGCTCCAACCTAGCAAAATAGAGGGAGACCACACACTCTCCAACAATGCAGTCAACAGAATTTGGTGAAAGAGGTACAGAAAGTATTTTCAGCTACCTTTCACAGGCAGAAATAGATGCACGAAACTTTTGTGAAGCCAGCAGTAAGAGCCAGGGAATATGCACAGTGAATCTACATAATTATTTTTTTTTTCTTTAGAATTCATTTTCAGTCAGCTCAACCAGATGCACAGTAGAGAGGTTTTTCACATGGGGAAAAAAAGAAGCATGACACAAGGGCAGGAAATATATGTACAACCACACTTTTTGGCAGTAAACCTTAGTCAGAACCATTTAACTGGGAAAATCAGTTTATATTTAGACAATTATATTTGCAAACATAAGAGATAGTAAAACTCACATTTTTTGTTTCCAAAAAACAATGAAAACTTTATAATTTCCAGCAGCTTGCTGAGTCACACAGTTCCCCCAAGGCACTTGATTCTGCTGGCCAGCAGATTTTCTAGATAGTTATTTTCTTCATTTTTACCCTGTTTTCAAAGAGCTGTGTATGTGCTGCTTTTTTCCCCCCCCAATTCAAGCACAATTATCTTCATTTAATTCCTTTGCTATTACAGTGACCATGCAGAATCAGCAAACCTCTGTTAACTGCCAGCTCCAGATACTCACTTTCACAACCACAAAATACTGGTCCTTCCTATTGTTCTACGGCTTAAAAGTAAAATTATTGCTCTGTGATTTTCAATATATGACATGTTTATCTAACCTTCATTTATGTGGGCTGCAGATTTATTTTGAATCCCTTCAGAACCATGGTAGGAAGAGGAGACACCAAGAAAACGTGTACAGCGAAAATATCCTGTTGTGGCTTTTTTTCTCCTTCCTTATTTCTGCTCAGAATTTGCAGCATACTTGCTTCATGAGCATTTTGGATCGTGAACCATGCAAAAAGACAAGAACATAACCCCAGCTGTTGAGTTATGCCTGTTACAAGCACCTTACATCTACAGCAAATATCTCTGAAAGCTGAACTTTGGAGCATGCCTAATTTTAGGCACTCAGCTTCAGACACTATTAAAAACAAGTAACTTGGAGATGACAAGCGCTCAGGACTTGGCACAAGTGAAACATCTCAACCACCACTAAACTAACATATTTGGAAATCATCAGTACCTTTCAAAAAAGTCATGCTCTGAAGGAATTTGAGGGGTTGCCTGCTCAAATTAAACAAACAAATAACAAAAACCAAAAAAGCCCACATTTCCTAGTTTTCAAACTTAGCAACCAAATCAAAACAAAAACTAACAGGAAAACACACAGCATGAACAAGCATCAGTTGGTGGATAAAAAATGAAGAAAAAAAAAGATATATTTGGCTTTTCCTATAAATTAATTTTATTTGCACTATACTATATTTGATGAAAAAATATTTAATTTCCTTGCCTTTTTAAAGAGCCTTCTTTACATATCCCCCCACCAGAGCTCTGTAGTTCTATTTGCATGCAGTACAGCAGAACTTTGGCTTATAACACTGATATTTTCCAAAGATAACTGCGATATGAGGAGGAAAAAACTCACTCACATTTGCTTAATCATGGTATTTTTGTATTCTTGCCATGTTTATGAGTCAGCAATAGCAGAAACTGAACTTGCTTTTCTTAGGCAATAGGAATAGGTTTCACTTTTTCCTCTTAAAAAGTTAGGAAAAAAAGAGAAGAATGTTCTTACTTTTTAAAATTATTACAGTGATGCTCCTACTGTGCAGTGACAGGAAACTTATTATCCAAGAAATGAAGTACAACAACAAAATTCCAAAAACTCCAAGTGAACTCTTCTCCAAACACCCTAAGAATTTGAACAAACCCAGGCAAAAGAAATTCAACAATCCTTTAAGTTGCACAAACAATTATAATTTCCCTTTCAAGCAAACACTTTACACATAAAGCCTAAAAAAAAAGCATGCTTTGAAACAACTAGGACATTGAGCAATCTGTCCAGCTGGCTTACAAAATGTATTTCCACCTCTCTATCACAAGGTTTTATACCACTAACATCTGGATATCTCAGAGGCACTTTGAGAAAGCATTTCAGGTGGGATTTCTAGCAAACTTTGCTATCTCAAATTGCACATGGTGCTTTTCCCAGTGTCACTGTAGCACCAAGGTGCAGATTCAGTTTTGGGGAGCGTTTCAGTTTCTCTGGTGCTGGGAGGCACCCGAACAATGAGTGGCATGGAGTTTATACGGGACAAGGGAGAGGAGACTCGGGAGCTGGAGGTGACCAGCCACCTGGGTCCCCAAAGACCACCTGAAGCTTTTCCAGGGCACAGGCCACTAGTTCTACCTGTCAGCAA